GCAGTCGAGCATGATCGTATGCTACCTCTCAACCATGCCAACGTTAATTTGTAAGCAGAAGCGCAAACATGTTTCTGTGAAACTAGTAGCCCGACATGAGGTCACCATCAGAACAATGAACAATCCGTTCATAAATGATGTTGTTTCGATCTTTTGTCCTTCAATCATTGATGTCCTGGCTCTTCTTTTCCGGTCACAGCCGATGAGTCGAAGTTGGGGCACTGAATCACTGTTCAACTTCAAGAAAATGCAATCGTTATGTAAAGACAAAAACTAATTGAATCCTGATCAATCCATGTAGTAGGGTGTATTTACTCTTCAGTTGGGATGTTTTCAGGGAAACATATTGTCGAAACACTTACTGTATATTATATATACACGTTGGCAAACTGCCATTCTGCCTCCTCTTGGACATGCATAAATTAGTGCGTTAATTTGGTGCTGAAATGTAAAGACTCACACCTTTGACACACTAAAGGTTCAACCTTCAACATGGAATACACCAACTTGCCTGCACTGTGCGATGCTTTTTCTAGATCCACTTCAACTACCGAACCATCTGTCACATCCTATTATCGGTTCCAGTTCTGCTCCATTGGACCATCCAGCGGCCTCCATAGCCATAGTCATCGTAGCCATAGCCCCCGCCGTAACCCTCGTAGCCACCTTGGAGGAGCTGAAACGGTTTGTCGAACCTGGAGAACGAGGTGAAGGCCTAGTAAGGAGTAGCCGGATGTGCTTTTCTAGTCTTTACTGGTTTCTAGTCTTTATGTGGACCTGGGCCCTGGAATCTGGCTCTCTTGGATCTTGCTGCACAACAATGCGTTGCCAGGTCGCGGTCAGGTTTAATTACAACGTAGCTGGAGCTCCGTCTACTGACTTGATCCCCTACTCAAGAGTCGATGATGAAAAAGTGCCGCGAACGGCCACGCCTCCATAGCCATAGTCGTATTCGTTGCCGTACTCGGGCTCATACCCTGACATGAAGCGAAAGGCTCAGGGTTGCGATTCAATGAGTCATGATTTTAGAAAGAAAGCTTTCTTCCTTTTCTTGTTTCTTTGTTTCTAATAGCGATGGCCTCCAACCTACTAGTGTCCGCCTCCAATCTACCAGCGATGGCCTGCAAACCTGCATGATGAACGCGTTGCGAACTCAGCAAATCAAGAATCCAGCTATTGAGTGGACTTGGAGATTACCTTGACGGGTGCACGGGCGCTAGAAACCTGCTGGCGTGAAGAAGTTTAAGACAGTTGGCAGCACAACTTGGGTCAAGTCCTCTTTCCAGACTTGTTCCGTTTGTCTTACACATTTGCCAATCGTTAACCCAACAAGTGCCTATCTGTAACTAAGGACCACGATCTGGAGTCTCTTAACAATTGGCATTTTAATGTATTATATGTTGCTCCTCACGTGGTTTCTCCATAAGACTAGGCTTATTGGGCTTGCCGCATTCTAGCATGAGGGAACTGCTTTGCAGCCACACACGTTGCCTCCAGGCCAACCCCAATGCCACCACCACCCATGGCCCCCCCGCACCTGCTCCCTGCACCTCAGGAAAAGCAGCGCGGGTAGCCCACAGGTGACCTGACGTACGTACAGTATCTACTGTGCAATCTAACGAAACATCTGTTTAAACAATCTAGAACGGCCAGCAGATACGTTGGATGTGCTGCTCAGTGGAACACAACAAAAGGGATTGAGGCAAAGTTCAGCTTTCACCATGGGATGATTTGAGGTCTCAAAAGCGGAGGCCAACCAGGCCTCCTGACCTGCACTAGTAATACTCTCCTTTCATCGATATGTCACATTCAAGGAAGCATCGTCTGGGAGTACAAACGCATTTTCCGTGAACACATTCGGACAGTCTCTGTTTGAAGCACCAGCCCGCCACAATATCAAACCAAAACAGATCCATAAGCACCTACGAGCAGCATCCATGGGCAACATGTGCTTCCTACATCCTGTCTAATGACTCGGTTTGGGGGGGTCTAATTCCAGACGAACACGCGAGCCACGTCCCTCTGATGATTGAACCTCACATCCATCTGACCTGGCGCTTCACATCGAAAATAGACTTCCCCAGTCACAAATGTTACACTTCCCCAAGCAAAATGCTTCCCCAACGCTGCCAGCTTCCCTTTCTTCGGCTCCTCCACCACATCCTGAGCTTGGCGCGAAGGAGCTGAAGACCGCGGCGGGTCCTGCGTGAGGTGCACCCAGTCCCGCTGGTCGGGTGTGGAACTCTGTGGGGTTACACATGCATGTTTATTTATTGTGTTTTTTGTTTTTTTAAATGTGGCTTCATGCACCGACTACTGCGCAAGTTTGAATCCGCAATGAGAATGGCAGATACGTGAAACTTAGGGGTCCCTGGATACGAGCAGGTTGAGTGGCTCGATGACTTTGCAGAGTGAAATCCCAGGGTCCTGCAACCATACTCTTTGTACTTTCACATAATATGGTGTACCTCTGGGCCATGAGGGTTACCCGCTCCTAGTGGTGAGACGTGCGGGGCGAGACGTTGCGTACAAAACTTGGATGAGTATCTACAGGAAGCAATGAGTATCAGTAATTGTGAACACGGCCTCCTGTAGGAAATACATGAGGCCTTGTAGGTTTCATTAATTAATGAGGCCACAGAACGGGCCACAGAATATCCTAGGTATTTTCAGTCCATGGTGTATCCATAGGAACCAATGAGTGTAATGACCTCTGGAGCCTGGAACAGGCGATAAGAAGTCGTCGAGTGCCACTCGCGCTCAGTGCCATGCAAAACTGGTTCCAAACGCTCAGTGCCAGGGGCTTTTCCAGTCTTCTCCCAACCGTGAAGAACTGACCTTCCATGATCTAATTACGCACCAGTTCTGGTGGAGAAGGGGGCGCCTCCAAGTTGCTTTGTCAAAGTTCGTTCCTGTCGATGATTTGAAGAAGTCCATGCAAGTCTGCTCTTTACTTTCGGTGAACTCCACCCAGTTGTCCAAGACAAAAGCCGTGTCACCCTGGCGGAGTACGTCTTAATTGTCCCGAAGGCCAGAGGTTCATTTTTGTTAAAAACAAGGGTATACAAGGGTACGTTGGGTATATTAAACATGGACGATGATGGTTAGTAAAGTCCTTGTTCAACATAGTGACAATTGTTTACCGACTGTTGCAGGTAATGCACAACCCCAAGGTGTATATATATATATATATATATTTGTGTAACGAATCCTCGACTCAAGGTCCATTGCACATGTTGTAGTCATCCTCAAGTAGAGGGCAACATCTCAAGGTCATACTCATGAAAACAAATACGTTGGCGAAAATTAACAAACTCGTTCATATTCATGCAGAGTTAGTGTGCTGGAAGGTATCTTCATTTCTTGGACTTCACTCATCCCTTCACTTCAGCAGTCTTGGACCCGGCTACACGTCCTGCGATCTGCTCTAAGCGGTGGCCGAGGGATGGCATTGCTCAAGCAAAGCAGGGGGTACAGGGCATGCGGTCTAAGCAAATAGGTTATGAATAGATAATGATATGAATAGACAGTGTCAGCAAATAAGCACCTGAGCTTTTGAAGTCCAGTGTTCTTTCTTTGCTCAGTTGCAGAACCTCATGTACATGAGCTTCTAGCGCAAGGTTCTGCAGATCTTCGATCGGACCCTGTGTGAAAGTTTGGAACCTCGCCTCTTCTGTCACCATGATGGTGCTTCGAACCGGCGTGTCGAACGGGCGCACTTGGCTGTAGTGACACGGTTGGGTCTCGGCATGAACATGAGGAGGATCCATACTAGAATAAACATATCTATTGTCTATACTATACCAGTCATCAAACTCCTTGAAAGCGGGGAGCTGCCCTTTTTGTGACCCACATCCTGAACATCTACAACTGTGAGGGAGAAACATTGGATGTGGACATACATAGGACACCATCCTGGACGGCCAAGGTGGGGAAAGGAAAGGACGGCGAATACAAAATCCAAACATGAAATCAGATCCGACGAATTGAAAGGCTGACATTCTCCGAAGTGTTGGTCAACATGATCAACAAAATTGGAAGGGTTTGCTGAATTGTTTAACTTTAGATATAAAATGAGCTAGGTCCAAAACCTGATTTAAACAACAAACAAAAAACTGAAGAGCGGACTTGCGAGCAGCGACCCTACACCACTCCTTACTGCTCGTCAGCGGGTGCGGGTAGGCTTGGGTTCTGTACATGAGTCAGTCACCTGGCTCTAGAGAAGATATGTACAATTCAAAAAGGTGTGATGAGAACTATTATGAGATCTATATATAGCAGCTATGAGACACAACCTGTGAAACCAAACGAAGCTCGGAATGCATGGAAACAAAAACACACAAAATAACGTTAAGATGTTGTTCTGAATTCAATAGTCAATATTGCATGATATTGCCTAAAATTCCTAGTTCCAGTTGGGATGTTGGATGTTGGATATGGTCTAAGTGTTTGCCTTTACTCCAACAGTAAGGTAGTAAGGTACATGTTTTGTGAACGCCAGTGGAGGGCATGAACATCTCGGCTACGGTGCATTGTGAGGATTGCACTCGGCATGGAGTATGGAGTAAGACAATTATATACACTCCTCTGCACCCAATTTCGACTCTATCATCTGAGTAAGACAATTCTGTTTTTGTCAGAATTGGGTGGGGGCAGGGCATACCAAACTTAGCATCTGCGTGTGAAAACCCCAGTGACAGGAGGCTCTTAGCACCCTGTTTGGAGTATAGGGGGATAAATCTAGTATTGGAGAATATCTGAATACGCTTTACCATCCATCGAAAAGATTCATATATACAGCGTTCAAAGGGGTTCAACATTTCAGTGGGAGCAGCCGGACTGGTGAAAGCGGTCCAATGCTCCCAGCTCACATGCAAAAAGAAGATTTGAGGCCCAGGGTCTTTGGTGGGACTTTGGATATGGAGCAAGGACGCTACTAGTAGCTCCTGGCCTTACTACTAGCAACAAGAAGCTACTAAGACTAGGAACAAAGGGCATCGCTACGAACGAAGCAAGGACACTACTAGTCCACCGAAGTCCCTGGGCCTCCAACCTACCACGACCCCGCTCGCTCCACCGCTCGCCGTCGCTCGTCTTTTGTCGCTCGACATCGCCGTCGCTCGAGGCCTGGGAAGCACGAGGATGGGTCACCCAAGCGTGGGATTCGTCGAAAGAAAGAGTGATCCAACATGAATCACACACCAAAACTTCTATGTCGCATCATGGTGATTTGTTGACACCTGGGGTTCCATGTCTGATCCATGAAAACAGAAGGGCGTCTGGAAGTCAAAGTTGATCCCCAATGTGGCGCCACCAAATTTCATGACACCTAAGACCCAACCAGCTTCCTCAAGGCATAAATATTTGTTGAGTCTGTGTTTGCGAGTGTGAAAACGGATGATTGATCTATGACCTCTATCACAGCTCTGTGTGCCTCTCTCATTGGCGCTGAAACGGGGTGCATTCATCAAACTTTCACAGGTGCTTTGAACAGTTGTAAAGCATTGCACCAGACGAGTATTTGCGTTGCAAAGCTTGTCAATCTTGTTCTGGGGCTGCTTAGTTCTTGTAAATCCATTATCCAGAAAGAGCTCTGCAACATCTGATGTTTTCAACAAAATGGTTCTTGTAATTTCTTGTCTTTAACTTTAAGCAATACTTTACTAGGACTAGGAGTCAGGCTTCTCGTCCCTTCAGGTCACCTGCTGATCAAAGGGACAACTGAACCTGGCAACCTCCCACATCCCCTGCCTTTGCGGCTGTCTCAGGCGAGCTGCCTCGAGCCAAACATCAAGACACGAAGAGAAGAATCAGCACCCGGTTGGTCACGGCCAGGTGACATGGTGACATGCCTCGAAACTCAAGTATTACGACTTTAGGTCACTTAGGTCCATCGACAAACCAAAAGTATTTGACCTAGAAGATCCTAGAAGTAAGACATGCCTTGTAACTTTATGACTGTCTCGCTAATTCACAAGTGCATGTGGGAAAAGTCGCACGCATGGGAACCACCGCCCCGCGTGGATCAAAGCTGTGAACGACCCCCTCGGATCTCTGGAGGAACAAACATCGGCAGTCGTCACATCAATCAGCATGTTCAGGTGGCCACGAACGTAACAAAGGGCATCGCTACGAACGGAGCAAGGACGCTACGAACGTAGCTCCTGGCCATACGAGTACAACAAAAATCTATGACGAACAAGGGCATTGCTACCAGTAACAAAGGGCATTACTACAAGAATCCCAGAACTTCCACTTCCAACGACTCATTTCACCCTGCCTGGTAGTCTTGATCCACCAATATCCACCACTTGTTAGGGAGCAACATGAGTCATGACTGGACTTCCAAAGACCTTTGCTAGGAACAATGTTCGCTACTAGTAGCCAAGGGCATCGCTACGAACGGAGCAAGGACGCTACCAACGGGGGACTCATGTTTACCGTGTTTCTCCTCGCCCTTTTGGCCGTGGAACGGCAATGGACATCACCCGACTGCCGGAACGCCATCCGTGATGCGCGGGCGGTTCGGCGGGGGCGCGTCGGTGAGAACTTGGTGGAAGCGACCAACCGTTTGGATCCAAATGGAAAGCTAGTGGACCTAATTTGGTCGTGTGGAAATCCTTGTAAAACACATGGGTTGGTGGACCTTCTGATTCACACTCTTCAATCAATGGTGGGCCAGGTTCTAGCCAGGAATCCCAGGCCCAAATCCACTGGTGACCAGTGATCTGCGAGGTTCATGGTCAGCGGGTGAAGAATACCCTCAACCAGGAAATGACATTGGAATTGAAAGAGTATCGCCCTCTTCAAGATAGCCAATGTTGTCACTTCTTCAACCATTCTCTGTCCCTTTATACAAAAATAGACAAAGGCTTCAAGTTTAGACCTAGTAATTGCTGTACTTTGGGGGTTCGGACCGTTGAACTTCCCAGATCCTGAATTTGTAGACAACAAATGAGCTCGGTGTAAACAATCCGCAAAGCAACAGGATGTCAATGAACATGAAGTCGGCAAGTCAAAATCGCCCTTCAGGTACCAAAATCACACAATCCTGTCCCTTTGGGGTGTTTCTCTTGACCCAGGCAAATGCCGCCTGCTCACTGGAACGACCACGCAGTCTTGGGAGGAGCTCCATCCAACTTCCACCACGCCGCCTCCTCTGCGAGGAATTGCTCTTCTTTCGCCATTTGGCTTTCCAGCTGCGCCAAGTCCTCCTGTCCCACGCTGAGACACGAAGAAAAACGAAGAAGAGCAAGCAACGCGGCGTCTAGTGAAGAGCTGCTTCTGCAAATTCTGCACCTAACCGATTATGTATGTTCTTGGACTCTGTAAATGTCAAAGCTCTAACTTTTTCTGCAAACAACTCTCGAGCTAAACACCATGTACATCCATGTTACCCACCACTCCCCACCGATCGATAAATATAGAACATCTTCCACTGACTTCGACACTTTCGGGCACGTTCGCCACGTTCGACACCAAATACAAACAACACTTCATACATAGCATGCTGCTTCCCAATCCGATCGCTCCAGGGTCTGCTCCAAGGACGAGGTCTCGTCGTCGGCATCGGGTCCAAGCGCCAGACCGCCCGCACCGTGCTCCAGGGCAGTGCGGCGGAGGCGGTCGCGCTCGGCCTGTGCAGTTCAGGGAATCAAAGGTTCTGCATCTATTTTGGTTCATCTGACTCAGGTGAAATCTGTTGATTTCGTTTTTTTCTGCTATGAACCATCTGGAAACATCCTTCAGGCACACAAATTCAAACAGATATGCTTTGCGTTCAAATCACACACTGTCGAAATAGTGCCAGGGGAAAAAGGAAAACACACCACAAAACTGCTTCAATAACGAGCTTCAAAATAAACCGACTACGCAAACCACCTCAGATTTGATTCAATCTGATTTTTTCCCGCAAGGCTTTCCCCGATATCAACAGAAGCAAACCTGGTCATATATCTGTTGCAGGAGGCCCGTCCAAAGGCACGGACTTTCATCACTAAACTGATCCCTCCTCTCTTTTGGATTCTGCCTCCTTCTGCAGCTGCATCTGCCTTTGTGCTGCCAAAAGAGCCTGGGAGAGGAAATCTGAGTCTGTCGTCCAACTAGCCAAAGGGAAGAACAACTGTAAGTATTCTCACGATTCTTGTCCCAACTTCCACTTGGCAACCTGTTCACCTGGGAAAACGTTTGGTTTCTTATTTCTCTGTTCATTCGTCATCAACGTCGCTTAAGGATCTTGCTTCCGGGTTGCATCAACGTCAAACATGACTTGTCAAAACCTGTCAAGACCAGGTCCAGTCGTCCGGCCGCTCGCCGTCGGCGATGCTTGTCACTGCCTGCAAGTTCCGCTGGCTCCGAGCAGCCTGCCATTACAGGCTGAATGGTGAGGTGCAAGTGCAAAGACTTGAAGTAGGGAGTGAAACACCTAGCAGGTCAATAGCTCATACCTTACAGGTCAAGTCACTTAGCTCATATCAGATCACTCGGTCAAGTGAAGTCTACCGCATGTAAAAAGCATTGTTCAACAGCGTTGCCACACTCCCCAAGGTGGACCACTCACCCCAAAGTTTTCGCAAGACTTGTTTCATCTTTGCACAGGCCAGCCGCATGTCTTAATTGTTTGATCCCAAACACTCAACTGGTTGGTGGCTTCAACTCACTTGACAACTGTTTTATAGTCAGAGGTGAACAAAAATTATTGGAAGTAAAGGTTGAACAGAAACATCTCTGAACAAAAATCACCCACCACACCCACTCCAAACCGTTTCATTTCGATCGACCGGCGCAATGAAAGCGGTCGACCGCACGGTGGCGTCGGCGTCCCTCCTCGTCCGCCCGACGTCGCTCGTCGAGGAGCTGCTCGCGCGCCTGGCCGGCTCGAGGAGGGCGTGGCCGATCTGTGCTCTGGAAACATAAGAGAAAACAATGGTGTATAGTGTATAGTATGGGTAATTAAGTTGGATATGCCAAAAAACACAATGCAAACATATTCAAAGATAGATAGTTTTGGGAAGACTCTGTTAAACTCTGTAGCTTAGTCGAAACAAAGGATACTGGATACTTGGAGAGTCCACTTTGGCTACCTGGTTCCTCGGAAGAAGTCGCATTGCTTGCCCCAGCTTGTTTTTAGCCGGGCCATTCCAGCAAAACAAAAACCATTCTAGTAAACATTCAGGACATTGATCACCAAGGAGAGGTTCCAGGTCCAGCAATGGTTTCACTGCAACTCAGATCGGTCAAAAAGCCCTTGAAGAAGGTCTCAAGGGCCTTGACAAATGTTCCACTTTGCACCATGCGGCCGAACTCTTCCTCATCAAAACTGGTGGCGGTGGAACAATTCAAAGTAAATAAGAACTCTAACCTCCATAGTTCAAGTGAACAGTTCAAGTCCTTGAAGTGCTTGCCTTTGAGCCAAGATCTCAGCTTGCCTTTCGGCCGCATCAAACAACCCGCCCGCATGGTCGTTTGGGATGCTGCGGAAGCTCTAATGAAGCCCTGGCCAGGCCACCTGAACACATCTCACCAACCGCGTGAGATGTAAACCGTGTCGTGCAGACGTGCATGGCTTGCCCAGTGGAAGCATCGGTTTCTTGGCCAACACAGTCTTGATTTCTTCCCAGAATTCCAGTCCAAGAAGACCTGGTTTTCTATCAGGTTCAATAGTGTTCAACATATGAAACAATAAGAGCATCTCCAGGATGCTTTGTGAAGACTCGAACATCTTCCAAGATTCAATCATAGGAAATTCAGAAGAACGTCATCCATGGAACTCTTTCAGAACAAACATGGGGGTGGAACTCTCCTTGTAACTCTTCAGACCCCGTTCGAGAAACCTCGAATATCACTGGTGGCCAGGCTGTCGGGTCCGGTGAAGCCAAGCTAACCACCCACGCCTGGTCCAATTCCTTCTGCAAACCATTCACCTGCACATCTGCTTATGGTGAACACATCCAGTCAAAACTTGCGAGGTTTAGCGCATGTCCTGCTGCATAAAGGATTTCGGATACACATCCAGTCGAAAAGGTGCTGTTGAATTGTGGGTATGAATTTATACAAAGATCGATCAGAATCATGAACATTGATAAAATAGCAAATGGAGAGGAAGACTCCAAAGTCCGGCCCTGGCGTCTTGGGGTTCTGGCCCTGGCTTCCATTTTGAATCAGGATGTTTTCAAGCGTTTGAATAGGTCTTGGCCGTGCACCTTTGCTTACCAAATCTTACCAAGAAAACCAAGGCAATTCACCCCTTGTTCCCTCTTGGGAGACTGGAACTGGGCTGATTAAGTCACAAGTTGGGCCTCTATCCCCTCCATCCAACCAAGAACCGATGATTCAACCGCAACCTGTTCTTAGATCTTTTGGACAAATCCAGTTTCCGCAGTAATATACATTCTCTCAGATTCTACCACCTCCACTCCTCCATGTCATTTTCCAAATCCCCACTACCACCCCCAAAACGCACCCGCCACGCTTATCCGATAGCTCCTCGCCTCACTCCGCAAGGCTTCCGCCTGTGCCGCCACACTCTGGGCGCCCAGCACCGCCTCGTTGATGGAACGCTGCTGGGCTCCGGCCGCCAAGCGGAGCTTCGACCTGCGTCCGACTCGTCCCACCCCGGTCGGACCCTCGACGTCCGAAGGGACGGTGAAATTCCCATGTTTCGCGGCTTCGGCACTAAGCAGTTTGTTTACGACCTGTTTCTGAACGTAAACGGATGTAGACAAGGCCGGTCTCCAGACCCAAAAGGTTGGCTGACCCTGTAGTGATGTGGTAAGGTTTCACACTGCTAGTGGCAAAGAGTTTGATGTGACCCTTTTGTGACCATGCTCAAGAAGAAAAACAACTGGACAGATTTATCAACCTTCTATTTCAAGTGACTACATGAGCAATGCGCATCAAAACACATACATTGTTCCAGTAAAATATTCTGTCAGTATATAGAAGGAGCCTGCGTGCTCCACTTCAAGACGGAAACAAACACAAAAAAACAGCACCCACAGCAGGCACTGGCCACCCATTTTTCCGGCGCCTCGCCTCTCAGCGCGGAGCTCTTCCTCAGCGAACTCCTGGATTGAAGACAAGTGAGGATATCTGGACTTGAAGGATGGCAACGGTTTGGCGAAGCTCGGGGGTTGGAGAACTTCCTGTAGCTTCAGCCGGCGACCAGCTCTCAACGAAGACGGAATCATCCCGGATTGCACAAGTCGGACCAAAGTAGAACGATAGGGCCCACGAGACTGATGGACTGGCTAGGACCGACCAATCCGGCCTGGTGAGTTGGCCTTTGTTCCGACCAAGCGGCATGGCCTGTGTGAACTCTGCAGATGTCTTCATGCGGCGCTGATTCTGGCGCGACTGTTCCATCTAGACGAGCCATCTGGACGGGGTCCGGCACGGCATGCTGTGACACTTCCGTTGCTCTTTCCACAACTCCGTGCGGGTTGACCAGCCCTGGCCGCACAAACAGCGTCAGCATGTGCCCTCAGGTGTCGCTCGTGTGCGGACAGTTCAGCGTGGGTATCCTGGAATCCTGATGAACACCAAACATTGGCAGGATTACCCTGGTGATCTGCAACAAATGGCGGGGTGTGCTTGAATTTTGACCTAAGCCCTCTTTCCAACATAGCACTTCTCAACCAATGTACCTGGTAAAATATGTGTCCGTCTACCCCAGTTACCCTTGATAAACAACAAATTGGATGCTGACGGGCATGGTAGGGGAGATCTTGTTCCTCCACAAGCAATCATCTGGTTTGTATTGTGAGACCACCCGGCCAATGGCCTTTTAGTCAAATTTCAGTCTGCTTCCCTGTTACATCCGGTTTCCACACATGTCCACATCGGTAATGTGCTTGTGCCCATCCAAACTCGAGAAGAATGGATTCAATCCCGAAATTGTTTGGCCTTGAGGCGATTGTTGCTACGGCGCGTCACGAGGAATCAAGAATTGTCCCTCCTCGCTACGTGGGAAGTGTTTTTCCATTATTTTCCTCAATGTCCTAGATATGTATATTTATGTGTTTGCTTGGGAATTGATTTCCCTAGATACTCTTCCTAGCTTCTGTTGCTCTTCTAAAGATGGTTTTCACTCAGCCCTGAGAGCACAAAACATTCTCTGTGAACAGGTAATCTACGTGAAGTTGAGTTGACGTAACACATCACAACACTGACCAAAACACCTGATGCTTTTGATTGACTACATTTACATGTATCAATTATCGAGTCACCATGCTTTCAGTGGCGCCTGGCCACCTACGCCTGGCTCGTGAAAACGCTTCGTAACCCGTCATCACCTGCATCTCCAGGCGCTGCGTGGCGTCCGTCATCCGTGCGCGCAACACCTCGACGGCGTCGTCGGCTGGAAGTCCCCGGGTGAAGCCGCAGCCTTTAGATCCACAGAGGTCCTCTTGGGTCCAGGATCGAATGACCGGGCAAAGTTGAACCAAAATCCGTCCCCAATGCCAAGGATTGATTTTTTTTGCGAAAGTGTTGCTGATCATCTATTTTCCACACGACACTACTACTCCTATTGAGTTTGGAGAGAGTCACACACACACCAAACTCACAAAGGGTGCTTGATCTTTCAAATTAATTGAATTACTGTATGTATATTGAATTCAACTATAGCAGGCATGTGATGATTCAGCCGAGTTTCAGCACCGCCTAAAGAAAGGCTGTCGTTCCAGCAATGCTTTGAATCGGTCGGTCTGTCTAGACCTGCTCCCATGTCAATGCATCTTCTTGACCTGGAAACAATTGCAAAGCTGGAAATGCCTTGACCAGTGTGTGAAAAAGTTTTCCAAATCATGTGTCATGTTCACCGGAGGCCAGGACAGTCCAGGGAGATCACGGTGGATGACCGTCGACACACAAACATTTGGCTCATTTAGGGGGTGGATTTCAATGTGCAATCGCACTTGAATGAGCTGCGGGTAGACCTACAAAAAACCGTCGAACAACATATTTTTTGAGGTCAGGAACAAACCAATTATATACCTCACATGAAACCTCATTCAGAGCACCAGCGGGTACGCCTTGGCTCCCCAACGGCCACTTCGGTGTCATTGTCTCGGAAGCCACTTTGGGCCGCCTCCTGGCACAAGGGAACCAAACCATGGACGTGGATGATACATGCCCAAAACTGTGTGAACGATTGGATCTGATCCGTGTCATGGCAGCACTCATGTCGACCGTCAAGATCATGAACATGTTCATACTCTAGAAAAGAGGGAAACGTTTGTATATATGTCATCCAACAAAATGACCCAAAGGTCCATTTTGTCCATTGCCATGGAGGCCTCAAACAGCACTTCGGGGGCCTCCTTGGTCCGAAGCTGCTCAAAAGAGCCATGGAGCTCTTGGAGCTCCGAGACATAGGACTCCACCTGCTTCGAGCCGGTCAAGCAGCGGCAGGAGAAAAGGCACCGTTTTGGCAGGAAAGTCTTAGGGGCCGGGGACGGGCTCATCTAGCTTTAGAGCGCTCTCTTTAGGGCATTGACATAATAAAGTTTGACCCATGGATGCTTTGTATTCTTGAATAAGGACAGCAACTAAAGGACAAATTTTAAGTAGTAACAACACATTGGTTCAACTTTAGCACAGTGCAACATGTATTCAATTCGAGTGGAACAATGGTCCTCCGCAACATGCCTTTCACTTCAGTTGTTCTCCTCAAGATTATCTACAGTTTTCTTGCAACGGGAGGCCGGGTTCGGCCGCATGAGTTACTGACTTGCTCCATGTCCGAGCATGGTGTGTCCAAGCCAATCGCAAGCAGGGCAAACCCTGATAACTACTATTTTACTTTCAGTGATCACCCGCTGTCGGACACATGTCTTGACAGACCTGACAAACGCTGCCTGAAATGCGCATTGTCAGAATGTTATATAGGCTAGGAAATATTATGGACTGTGTTCTGACATCCGTACATATGTTCTGGTATTTGCCCTGCCGTGAAGTCTGACACGTGCTGTGACATACAGACATACAGTCCGACTTCGGTTTTGATATGTGCTGCGACATGTGCTGTGCCATGTATCCCGACACTTGTTCTGCTATACAACCTGCCACTTGTTCCAACATATGCTCTGACATAGTGACATAGTTTCAGACATATGACTTTGCATTCTTCAAACACTACCAACATTCTACCTGGCACATCTTCTGACTTCCTCTCTGGCATATCTTTTTGCATTCTACCTAACAAATCTTCTGACATCTTTTCCAGCAAGCCATCTGGCATATCTTCTGCCACTCTTTCTATCATGAACCTTGCATCCTTTCTCCCGTTCTATCTGGCATATCTTCTGACATCTTTTTGGCATTCTTTCTGGCACAGCATCTGGCATTCTACATGGCATCTTTTGCAATCCGGCATGGTCTTCGGCTTTCCTCCAATCGATCTTTCATATATTCTGACATCTTATCTGGCATATCTCCAGAATTTCCAACTGGCATATCTTCCGGCAGTCTAAGTGCCATACCTTTTGGCATTCTATCTGGCACATCTTGCAGCAGTCTATTTGTCATAAATTCTGGCATTCGATTTGGCGTATCTTCGAACATCTTTTCTGGAATGTGTCCTGGCACTCTAGCTGGCAGATCTTTTACCATTCTAAACTGGCATAGATTCTGACATCCTGGCATCCTGCCTGGCATCCCTTCGAACATTCTCACTGGCATATCTTCGGATATTGTAGCAGTATCTTCTGACATCATTTCTGGCATATCTTCTGGAATTTTAGTTATCACATCTTCTGACGCCCTTTCTTGCATTCTATCTGGCTTCTGGCATTCTCAATGGTGTGCAAGTCCGTATGTGCCCAGACTGCGCTGGCGCTCTTGATGGTGCGCAGGTTCGTGCGCGCCCAAACTGAGATGGCACTCGCTGCGACATATGGCAGAGAAATAGGAGGAGTAGTACCTTTGCTAAAAATCCAAATCCCTCACCTGGCAATGTTCCAGGAAAACCGAACAACCACATGAAAACAACAACAGCTGCCCTACTGAATAAGCGTCCTCAAATGTTTCTCTGAGCGGCACTGCCAATAGCCTGACGCCATCTCATGCCAATAGTTACTTGCGAAGTTTTGTCAATATGATGCATTCACCTCGCCCTATTGTACAACCTGCGGTTCTCAGCCGGGGCTCTTTCCTTAAGTCTGAGTCCGACCTCTGAGCCCACGGACCTCCAACCGAGCCAGGTGACGTCCACGCCTGCTGATTGAGCGCGTCCACCGCCAACTCAGTACGCTGTCGCTCCTCGACAGCCTCACAGGCGGACAGCCCAACAGGTCATGAGCCTCGTCCGGTGTTGGTGTGTCTATTTCGAGCAAGACGCACCCCAAAAATAGAATGACATGCCAAGGAAATTGATCAAAAGAACAACCACATTTGTAAGAACTCATTGTTCAGATCTTTTCAGTGTGCTTCGATGCTATTCTTGTCATATTTCATGGCAATGAATGGTTCATGGTCTGCTTTGTCGTTTTGAACATTTTGAACGCCAGCATCCTCTCAAGATCTGAGCTGAGACGCATAAAACACATTTAAAAACCATCCAAAGCGCCAAACTCCTCACCCTTTGAAAACCCGGACAGAAAAGCCTACATCAGGTCCTGCAGAAGGACTTTTCTCTTATTTAGTCGTATTTGGACAGCCAGTCTCGCGCGGGTGATTCGCTCGCCTCTTGGCAGGCTGCCAGAAGGCTATCTCTCTGGAACTCCCGCCCACGAAGCTCCTGGCAACATGACTGTGCTGAGCAAGCGGCTCATGCGGCTCATTTGGAGGTGCATTCGTGTCATTTTGTAGCAACATTGAGTCTGAGGCAATACGTATGTCTCTCTTTCTGATTCTTTCTGTATAATCGCGCTGAAGGGCCCAACATATGCCTTTGAGGATGTCAAGTGGCCACAAAAATGTACCCATCAATGAGTTGAACGAGTACTAGAACCAGTGAGATCAAACTACTTGCCGGTCAGCTGACACTTCCCTTGCTCTTGCGGTTGAGGAACACCAGGACAGGAACACCATATCTTTTCAACACGACCTCGAACCATATCTGATATTGACTAAATCATATATATAGTTTCAACCAGTCATGCATAGTCATGCTTACCAAGGAATATTGATTGCATGACTCTTCCATGATTCTCTCCCCCTCTCTACTGCTACATGCATGATAAGACCGGATTTGACAAACTCGAGAAGGTCGACCATTCAGCAAAACCAGGTCGACCATTCAGACCAGGTTGAAGAAGGGATGCCTTGAGAGTGATGACCGGTGCCACTGACGGTGCCATTGGCCGGACGACTGTGGAGCCCGGTCGGTGGCCTGTAGCATCGGCAAATGCTGAGCCTCATGCTCCTGGAGCAGTTTTGATGGCTTGACCCGGAAATCCGAACCTCAGACTCAACCTGAGATTATTGCAGAACTTATTGCAGAACTTTTGCGGAAAAAAAGGTACAATCCAAGACATCAAGGCTGTTGCTCCTACCTCCACCACTTTGGATTTCCTCCTTCCATCCCTACCACAAAGCCCTACTAATCAGCTCCTTGCTGGCGGAGTCCAGCTGCTGTGCCCGCGAGCGGTGCTGCCGCAGCTGCTGGTGCAGCAACTGGTTCTCTCGAGTCATGTGCCTCTGGGATGGGCCGTCTGGGGATCTTTATCACGGACGAACAAGACAAACAAGCGAAATCCAGAAGCGAAATCCGACGAACACATCACATGGAAATGGATGGCACCACCTGTTTGTAGAGGACAATGGTCTTCACAGGGGCCATGCCATCCCCTTCCATGTTAGTGAGTCAGAGTGTAGTCTTTGTCTTGGACTTGTTTGAAATGAGGTCAGGTCTTAGCTGTCCGACTCCTCAAAGCCTAGCAATCTCAACCCCCTCCCTGCAGCAACTACTGATTCAAGTGAAATCCTTCAGTGTTGATATCTTCTCATGAGTCTCATGAATGGTTGAAGAACCCCCCTGCCATCTTTGTGAACAAAAAACATGAACACCCGCTGGCCCGCTGGCAAAGGGTCCCAAACACATAAGTCATCCCTGCCCAACTATCAAACAAAGCATGACTGACCATCTCGCGCACGCCATCACACAACATATAATGACACAACCTCTATAAATTCTGTCGCACCTAGCTCCCTACCTGGTGTCTTTGAATGTCTCCATCCACTGTATGAAGACGTTAAAAACGAATGCGTCGACGGGCAACCACCGCCGGGCCGGCACCTCAAATCCTCCAGGGCCGTCTTCTCCTCCTTGCCGCGCTCCGACAAGTCGCCTGGGCGCTCCAAGAGCACTCGGGGCCCAGGAAGGCACTGGAGTGGACCGACAAGGAGTGGCCAGGAAGATGGTTGGCATGTTTTGGTCCCTCAATGTCCCTCATCAAGCTTAATTAAGAAGGTGGCTACTGTAGATGATTTGGCTGATGAGGTTCTGGAAATTTATTCCGTGGTTCGACCAGGTTCTGGAGCTAAGAACGGATTGTCTGGTCTGTTTTTTGGTTTCCAAAAGTTCTAGACCCAACTGCGAAATTAAATTGAACACCTTGTGCATCGAGTATAATGCTTATTATATATCAAACAGTACCAAGCTATATATCAAGCTCATCTTACTGATCAGCTCGTTGGCTGAGCTCTGACGAGAAGGTCAGCTCGAGTGACCTGCGGTGACATGGCAGCCTTATAAGATGACTAAGTGCTCCAGCGGCCCATCTTTTGGAACAAACCTCATATGACATGTATTTATATAGTTATACACACATAAATATAGATCCCTCAATGGTCAGTCCAAACTGGGCATGAACTTGATCTCCTCGACGAAAAAAACAAACAAACAGTCATCACATGTTTTCTGAGGATCCCAGCTCGCGGTGCCTTGCACCTGCGGTGCTCGTTTGTGCTCGTTTGTACCAGAGTGCTGTTAGAGGGTGCCACTATGATGTGCTATGCCATCTGACGCGAGAAGGAGTAATGACAAGGCTTGACCTCATGAGGTTGGGCAACTTATTTTCCGCTTCGTCTTGGGGCGGGCCTTCATAATGAATCATATGATACCAGTTGCACAACAATGTTGAGGAGAGGGGGGCTTACGCATGACCGTTTTGTGTCTTGCTACGCTCGACCAAACTAGGTGTGTTAACCTCGACCCCGCTGGGTTCTGGAACCTTGACCCTAGTGGGTTCTAGAGCCTCGGCTCCAGTGGGTTCTGGAGGCTCGGAACCCTCCCACCCAGGCTCGTGCTCTTTTCTTCGCGAACTCCACTGGCACGTAACTTCTCCTTAGCAAATCAAAGTTTGCTTTGGCCAGGGGCTGATGGGAAAAGGACGTGGTTTTATGAGTGATTAGGGGCAAGGACGTGGAAAACCACGTTCCTTTTGACTTCTTTTCAAGCGGCTTCACAATCCACGATCTTGTTAATCATGTGGTGCCAAGACAATTCGATCCAAGACAGGGATAACATTGTGATTTGTTTTACAAAGGGACCAGCTTGCTGAGTGCCCCAGGGCCGAAAGGGCCCGCGCCGAGCCCTTTCCATCCGGGGTTCCGAACATCTCAAGCGCCAACTCACCAGTGATCTGCAGCGGTCATCCTGCCAGCAATTTTGTAGGCTTTTGTAGGTATCAGACCTCACAAACTCCCAAACTGTCCTAAACTAATCATCTTCAGGCCCCAGCTCCACAGAATCCATCATCTCGCCTGCAGAGGAAGCAAACAGAATGTTCAACTTTTCAACGAAGGGCTCAGACACACACGTCCTGCCTGCCAGCGGCTTCAAGGACGAACGTGCGCGAGGAGCTGATGGTCCAACTGGCTTCCAGCCAGCAAAACAAACGTCATCTGGACGTAACTTTTGGAGAAAGTCTTTGGGGTACAGCTCTGTGCGGTTACAATGTGCCATAATCATGCTCCCTTCTTTCATGACCTGCTGCATCGCCGCCTCCGTTGCTTGATGCAAACAATCAAGGGCTTCAGCAGACAGTCGATATTCTTTTGGAAGAAGATCTCTGGAAAGACGTCGAAACGACGTCTTCAAAATGGCACGGGGTCTGTCCATGTCCTTTTTAACGAAGGCCTTCCACTTTCGACGGCGTGCCTCTTTCTTGTCTACGCTGCCACGATCCCACTTCTCGACTGCTTGGGCTGCTTGTTCAGCAGCAAGGGCGGAGCACTCCAGAGTGCGTCGACTTTGAATGAAATCTGCAAAGCTCTCTCCCAGCCTCATTCGCTGCCTCCTTCCTGCAGCAGGCACATCACGTTGGCGGGCTCGGATTCGTCGTAGGAGGTATTTCAGTTGGTTTCGGCTACTTGTCCAACGATCTCCCAACTCTCTCCGAGCGACATTTGGTGTAGGGAAAAGACCTGTCCTCTGGACCAAGTCAGCAACGCAAGATTTTGCTGCTTGCACCTCTACCACCGAGATGCCCCCACGAGAAGCTCTCCGAGCTTCTCTTCTGTCAGCAGTACACTGCCCTGAGACCCGAATATTGAGACCATACTCTGCGCCGCGCAAGCCACCTCGAAATTCGAAATGACGACCATTTCCTCTGGAGCAGCCTAAGCATTTTGAGCATCTGGCCACCATCCGAAAAACGCCTTGTTGAGGCCTCGGTGTGGTCCTGTGAGACAGCTTCAAATCAGCTGTCTCCTCCTATTGCCTCACCACATCCCTAAGAAAGTGCCTGTCAGGTCTTCCACCTGCAGGAGCTGCGAAGATCTTGTCTTCAAAGTCTTCCCACTGATGGGATCGGTGCGGCATCTGGTCTATCTGCAGCCCTTGAAGATAAAAGTGCAAGAAAAAGTGCAAGGAAATGGAACATGTTCAGAGGTTCTTAAGTCTGAAGCAGATGTCAAAAGACCAAATTCAACTTTGGTCTATATCACACTCTCAGCAGCACTGCGTCATGCTTAGTATTTGTAAGAACATGAAAGGGAACGTGGTTTTTCAATGTCTCAACTTGAAATCTCTCCAAAAACTGCGTCCTTTTAATGGCAGAATCTGATCCCACAAACCCGGCCTCGATGTAGAGGCTGTGGACCAAGAAGGGCTTCTTTGCTATTGAGAAAGGGAAGCGGACAAGGCATGCAGGTCAAGCTGGGATAAGAGTACCCATCCTAGTCGTGGTGAAAGGACCCATTCTAGTCGGGACAAAACCCAATGAAGTCGCTTCAAAACCCAGAGAGGTTATGGTTAAACCCCTCCCTACAATGTTGAGAGACATGTTCTCCATGGAGAGCAACAGGCCACAATGGAGAAACAACATGAAACAACATCGTGCTTGACACACCATGCCATGCATGGCAACCCGCATTGCTGAGCTCCGCTCGAGACCAGTGATAGGATTCTCGAATAGCGAGGCCAAATGTTTTCTTTCAGGAAACAAGGCCTTTTTGATGGCCTGCTGCTCCATGGACATTCGGACTCCATGGAAACTGATCAAAAAACCCAGCCCTTGCCGTGGGTTCTCGCCTCAGCCTCCACCAGCCGTAAAGCATCCAAGGCTGAAGAAGTGCTGCGCCTGGGACCGTCAGAACACTCAGAACATAAAGAACTGGGAATGCTCATCCTCCATCTGTCTGGGATGACAAAAGGAAACACCCATGAGCCAAGCTCTTGTGTGGCAACGTGCAGCTGCGCGATGTGATGTGTCATGCTTTGTGGCGATGTGATGCTTTGTGGCAGTGTAAGGAGGCAACATAGCAAGCGGTGCAACTAGCAACACCCTCTCAGAGAACTTTGCAGGCAGCCTGTCATGACATGACCTCACGTTGACAAACCAAAACATAAACAACATCGCATTTCCACTATACACCTGCAACTTATCTCATCTGTCTTACTGCAACATTGTCAGCATGCATTAGATCCAGCAAATAAATCACCTGTCGTACTGTACTGCTGTGATACCATTTCTCTATGTATCAGTTTGATGGGCTTGTTGGTGAAGCCTGTGCCTCATCCTGAAACTTGGCACCAACCAAATCACATACAGTAATATGTTTCTTTATATATGTACGTATTTAATTGTATTTAACTAGTATTTTACAGAGTGCTTCTCACCACAAGGCTTGCAATTTCACTGCTGCCCCCAGACCCAACATAACGTCAACATTGAACATCTTTCTGCGCTTAGTTATCAGATCGTGTACTACATGGCAACATGCTCCAGGATCGTGGAACATCGTCGAAACAGTTGTGACTTCAGGAAGGAATGCATCTAACATTAGCAAATCATGTTCATCCCTTCCCTTCCGTACCCCTTGGGACAAAAAAAACGAGCTTTTGGATCCAACTATATATATTCTCCACCGGTCGCCACCGAGAAGTGGCGTGCCCTCTCGTGGCGGCTCTTTTCGGGGAACTCCCAGGCGCGTCAGGCGCATCAGGTCTTTGAGTTGGTGACCACATGGTCACCACACACGTCATGGGTCAAGAGTCAGTCAAGAGGTTGTAAGAAAACACACATAGAAGCACTCGCAGAAGAGAGAGAGAGAGAGTATAGGATAGTGTGCTTTTTCACCGCATCCTCTGACAAACAGCCGGTTGGACCGGAGGACCACCTTTGCTTCTTTCTTTTTGTTCTGACTAGTCATGATTGTATGCCGCATGCCTCTGGTTCTGATGTACCATATACATGCCTGGTAGGTCTGCGAAGAGCTTTGAAAGACTTTGAAAGGCTTCCCTTCACCCTCCCGTGCCGTGCCCTTTCCCTACGCTACGAACGGCCCAGCGGCGTGTCGTCTGCCTGCAGCGAGTCAATGCGATCTTCTGAACGACGTTTGCGAAGCAGTGAGGGACAAAAAAGCAACACCAAGGGATGAAAAATGCTGTTGATTCCTGATGTGCCATAATGGTCCACTAGACTCTAGACTTCACCCAGACTCTCTTTTGCGGATGTAGTATGTAGTATCTCTTCCGTGATTGTACTCACAAAAAAACATCGCATGAGAGGCGTCTCGCATGGACCATCGGTTCCCTGAAATGGATCGATACGCCTTCCCTCACCATCCGGGGCTGGTCGCTGGGTTGTGAAACCGGACTGGGAGTGTTCCTTTTTGCACAATGTCTTTGGCAGGGTTCCGGATCAATGAGTGGAAATTCCCTCTCCTCGTTTTTGGCACGTCCGATTTGAGTCTCATTCTGACCAACAGTCCAGGAGGATAGTCCGAAAAGGAAAGAAGCACAATGGCGTGCCGGACAGCTCTTTTTTTTGATAATTTTTGATATCATGTTTTGCTTTGTCCTCGTCAAATGCTGCCCTTTCCTACTGTGATGCTCCCTTTCTGCATCTAGTGCACCAACTCATCCTGTGTTCGGGTCCATTGTCGGGCTTCCCGACCAAATCTCCCTGCTGATGGGCAATGGCTTGCTGCAACTTGTCTATGGTCCACCTGGTTGCTGCACTCGCTTTCTGCACTTGGCCAGGGGAAAAGGGATGCATGACTCACGATGGCTTTAACAACCAAAGACTTGGAACTCCATTTCTGACCTCATGGTGACAAATGGGTGAATCTTTTGATTAGAATGTGAAACAGGATGGATTTGTATCCAAAGACTATATATATATATATGTTACTATGGGCAATTCTACTAAAATTTGAGTGTCCACGCCCAACTAGGGTGGGTTTCAAAAGCCCACGAGATCCTCCGAGACCTGACCAGGAACTTCTTCCAGTGCATCACGCGAGTCGGGAATGACAAACATGTTCCTCATTCCGAGTTCTACTGGCAGTATCAGGAACTCGGACCCTGTGAAGTCTCTGGGGCAGTTGGCAAAGTCAATGTTGCTTAGCTGTTTCCTTCATTTACAGTGGCACACATTTCTCAAGTCTGGCTTGTGTGCACGTGTGTGCATACACTCCGTGTGTGCATACACTCCAAGAGAGAACATACTGGCAACTCTTGCCACGGCTCTTCCCTGACACCATAATGACAACATATGAAAACACATCTCCAGAACCTACACATTCGATCCCGGTAAAGTTATGACCCCTGCTTGGAATAGGGCGCTGATGGGAGGGGAGAAGCACAAACATCGGCTGCCCGACTCCGCCAGAACTGCCGGTGACAGCGTCCAAAGCAGCTGAAGCCAAAGCTGGGCAACCCAGGCTGCATGTCCCCGCGCTGCCGCTGCAAGTCTTGCGCCTCTTGCTGCAACTGCAGTAGCCTGAGGCACAAAAGCATTGTGCCAAAAAGTGACATGAGCAGCGAAACAAATGCCCGTGGATCATGAGTCTAGTTCGGCAACACTATCTAAAGAGATCTAAACGGTTCCTAATGCCAGAATTGGCTAGTTTCCTCTGTCACCATACACATGTTCATTCGAGATCGACCTTGAGCGTCGGCAACAGAACAAGGTAAGTAGATGTAAGTAGTAACAGTAAGAGTGACACTGCCCGAAGCTAGCAGAACATCTCCCAGTTATTGGAGGACTTCCATCTACCAGACCCTAAAAAGGGATTGACACCGTGGTGTGGAAATACTTGTTCCTGACTTGGTGGACACAATGGTTCCAAGATGATGAAACAAACAATGCTTTGGCCGTGCTACACCGCCATTCTCCACACCAACCGCGCTGTGCACACCAACCCCACACCGCGCACATCAGGTCGAAGCGGCCCAGCACCGGCGACGTCCGCCGCACGCTGCAGGCTTTGCTGATCCGACTGCACGACGTTGGAAGCGAGGCAAGCGACACAGCAGGACAAATGGTTTGCTTCAGGTGGCACAAAAATTGGGGATTCCCTCAGTGCTCAGTGCTTAAAACAAAAAGCAACAACATTGAGAAACTAAACACTAGTAACTTACTATACCACTATACCGAACTATCAAACATCTGGAGAATGCATCCCAATGCTTCCCATGTTGTCACGGTTTGCCAACTAACAACAACAGCTGCCGTGCCGAGTGCCCAGGCCAGGCAGGGCCCCGGGCGTTGGGCGTTCAACCAATGTCAATTCCAAACTCATTGCGAAAAAGCTCCCAGTAGCGTCCTTGTTCCTAGCAGCGATGCCCTTTGTTTCTAGTAGTGTCCTTCCTGAAATAGTCATGGAAGTGGATAGCATGGGCTGAAAGGATTACTCATGTTCCGAATACCAAGCTGGTGGTTTTACACTTGATGATTTCAGGGATTTTCAGGGAGTGTACTGTGCTTGGTTTCAACTCGACTTTTGAAACCAACAGTTCAAGACCCTTCGGTCAGTCAAGAAAGGGTGCAACCAAGCTCGCTTACCTGAAGGCGAGCTGAAACGATGGCACCACCAAAAAACAACAACCCTTCCAGACCCCTCTCCTTTTGCAGGCTGGGCTGCTGGATGGTGTTTCTCACAATCTCCTGATTGATGCTTTTTTGGAACACGTGTCTAACAACCGATGTTCTTGCAAAAGGCTTAAAAGCAATGCCACTTGGCCTCCAGGTCTGCGATGTGTTCACGCAATGACCTGGCTTCCTCGGTCAGCTCCTGTGCGGTGAAAGCTTGTGCCAAAGGCAAAGCCAGGTCTTTGACGCGCAGCTGCACAGTTGGTGTGGGAGAGAGCAATACAAACATATCCTCCATTGTGGTTGCAGGCTCAGATGAGCCGCCAATCAAATGGAATGATATGGACTGATTAATTATATATAATATCCGAGTCAGGCCATGGTGATCTCAAACGTGGTATCCCCCAACGCAGCCACAAAAAATCATCTCCAAAACCCTTGCAAAGCGCCCTCCCAGAATTTAGAGTAAAACAAAGCTAATTGATTGGAGCTGCCAAAGCTACCTCAGATGCAGGAGTTCACTGCCCTACCAGAACTCCAAAGATGTCCAAGTTGTTGAATGAGGTGCCTGATAGTAAGTTTGACACAGGGCTTGGTTTTCACCATACCGGTGAGAATACACCTTCTATTCAGTTCATGTCCACAACATGTGTTCTACATTGGACCCACCCCCTGCAACAACGGCTTCACTTCATACGGTCTCCTGCAATCGATTCCGTACGCTTCGGGGACCTTGCTTGGTCTGTTCCAAGCGCCGTTGCTCCTGCGAAGCAGCCGCAGCCGAGGAAGTCTTTTGGCTAACATGTGAAAACGACAAACTGGGTTAGATGCCTCTTCTTCCTTGGCATTGGGAATTTGAACTGAGTGGTTGGTTGGTGAACAAGGATCATTGTCAATTCAAGGGCCAACCTACAAACGGATGGCCTCCATTCGTGATATCTTCTACGATGGGGGCCATGACTGGTAGCAACATGAACCTCTCCAAGTGGTCGTACCCAACACCTGTGACTCTGTATGACTCTGTAACTCACTGACCCAACTTGTCAAGAACATCCATAAAGCTAAGCCAAACAGATCAACGACTGAAGGCTCGGGGACATCTTCAAACATGCCTGTCTCAACCTGTCAGACTCCGGATGAACAGTCAAACCAACCAGTCTATACCCATGTCTACCCAAGGTTCTCTCAAAGCCCCGGCCAATCCTCCTGGTAAGCCGCCCTCAAGCCTAGCATCCGCCGGCCACACGCGCGCACCCGGGCGCCACACCCTCCGCGCGCGCCTCGACCAATTCTTCCGTCTGCATCGTCACCTCTCGCCGCAGCTGCCTTTCTTGCTGCTCCAGCGGCTCCACCGCACGCGCCAAGCGCATCTCACGGGCCTGGGACTGCGAGGTGGCGCGCAAAGCGTGGTGGCGCGAGGGGGAGATGGCTGCCAAACATGGCGAGGAGTTCGAACATCTCTCCACAAAGCATCAAAAAGAAAATGACAGAACAATGGACCCCCCGCCCGACCTGGAGTTCTTCCATGGTCCTCTGCGCGGCTGACTCCAAGTGCCGGGCCTCCTGGATCGCACAGCTGTAGGGTGCGTTTCTCATTTAAGGTCATTTAGTATAGGAGGCATACATATGTTTGAATATAATATAACATAATATATATATAATTACAAACATCCAAAGGTTGGCTATAGTGCGGTATACTTTGCACCCTTACTTGTGATGAACTCATCACATGTTTTCACATCTTAACTGTCTTTACAGTTACAGTTTATATCTGAAAATATTTACAATGTAGGTGCACATGCCTTCGATCGATTGACGCGTGAAACTGGGATGAGGGATGACGGCGGTTGACTTTGATTGGCTCTCAGAATCACAGCTAACCATGAGAAACAAAACAGAGCAACTCATGATGGGCCAAACACGGATCTTTGGATACCAGTTGGACGAAGGTTAATCAGGCCAATCTACTTGGCGGTGAAATAAATGATTGGACATAACATCAAAGATGAACACATATTATGTGGGATGCACTACGGGTCATCGTGACGAAATTGATAAACATTCTTTCCTTGATAACACCAACTCGACATGACATGACTGGGTAGTCGTCGCAGTCTGCTGAGCCGGCCTATTCGCCACGACGACTACTGGCGCAATCCCTTCGGTCTTTACTCGAGCTCCGTTCTCCTGCAACTTCTGACGAGCGGAAGTCGCTTCAGCCTGTCCGGCCATGTCAACAGGGCTGGAATTTGAGACACAGTGCGATATATGTGTTTGTATCATCTCAGTAGAGATGATCCCCCCCCCCAAAAAGATACATTACCGCTTTGAAAGCTTTGCGGTAAAAGTTGGAGCTGGACTGCGGATCGGAGTTTAAAGACTATATCTGATCGACAGTCCGAAAACATCGGAAGCACCCGGCTCGTGCCTCGGCGTCTTCAGCATTTTGAGCCTGCTGGGCCTAGCAAAGCCAGGGAGGATGGAGGATACATGCTGTTCGGTTTATTGGGAATCCGCCAAGAAGTTATTTGTATGATAGGTTGAAGGCTGAGTCATCAAATCTTGTCATGCATGCACTCAGCCCAGTAATTGAAAGTGGCATCAACTCATTCCTCTGACTCTAATAGCATTGGCCAAGTTCTGTTGGGTGGATTGATGGGTACGGTACTTGGTAAATTTTGGCTTGTCCAGCAGAGTGTGTTTTGCAGGTGACAATTTACAAATTTGGGATGCTACTTCTGAAGAAAGTATAGACCTTTTGGATCCTGGAATTCTGAAGAAAGTGTATATAGACTTTTTTGGAACCCGAACCCCTTCAAAAAGCCTCCAAAAACATACCTTGCCTATCCTTGCCTCCAGGCTATAAAGAACCTTCGATCCCAGGCCTGCTCTTCTTGCGCTTCAACCGCTTCAGCACCTCTGTCAACGACTCCGACATTAAACACCAGAAACTAAGGGAGCACGAGATGCGAAGGTTCAGGCAAGTGCTGTGCCCCAATCCTTGCCGACCTCAGAAAGCCTCCATTCTCCACAAAAAACACAACTCATGGAGCCCCACATGAATTCAATTCCTTCTTTGTTGTCTTCGGTGATATACTCATGAATGCAAACGCATGTGCCCACTCGGGCCCTGTGCGCCTTTGGCTTCGTCTAAAGATTCGGAGAACAAACAACGGCCTAGCATTCGCCCCACCTCCAGAATTGTATCGACATGGTCTTCCAACACAAACTCTCTCCGGAGAAATTAATAATTGCATAATATATAGATTTACATACATATTGGTATTACTATCATTGTTATTTTACTACTATTATTATTATTGCTGCTGATATTATAATTGTTATTATATATAATATACACATACTTAAAGTGGTATAGGATCCTTGCAGTTATTCCCATCATCCTACATCCAAAGGCAGGCAAACACCACATCATGTGAAAATGCAGTGTGTCACACGATGCTTTTCCACCACCAATCCCGCTGGAGTGGCACCCCACCCTCCAACCCCCAAGTACAAGGTGATAAAATCCGCATGAAACCTGATTAAATATTAGTAGCTTTTTGTTTCTATTTTAATTCTTGTTTCTGATGGCTTCTTGTTACTACTAGTAAGACACTTGTTACTAGAAGCGATGCACTTGTTCCTAGTAGCTTATTGTTCCTAGAAACAGATTGACATAGATCGACTCATGTTCCGGCTATCTACATGATCCCTTGCGGTGGCCACCTACATGGTCTGCCCGTGGGCCAGTGTGTACCTGGGCTGCAAATTATGGCAGATCCCCTCAGCCCATCAGGCCAAAGGCACGGAGCTTTTCCTGCCAGACACACCACGCGGCGCCACGCGCGCTGCGCCATGCGGGGAACAAAACGAGTTCAGCTCTCTCGTGGCACAACATATTGTCTCAGCCCCGAAGGCGTCAAAAAGCTGGAAAAGCCTTCACCAGGAAAGTTCAGGAAGAGGGTGGTCCATCAAATCCTTCAACAAGCAATATGTTTCTGGAAATGCAATCAAAATATGAGTCTAAACGTCTAAACCGCCAATTCAATGTTTTAAAAGGCGCAATCAAATACTACCGAACAATGGACCTAACAAACAGGTATGCCAGCTGTATGCAAAGAGTGACAATGAAAAACCTTCCAAGTAAGTTGAGATGTTTGTAGGGTCATTCGGTCATTCAATATACCCAAAGAGGCTGCTTTTCCGACTCTCGTCACGCCTTTTGGAGCAACTCTTGGCGCATACGCTCCAGCTGCTCTTCCATCTCATGAGCCTGGACAACGTTGAGACCGACTCACGGGAACATTGGGAAACCAACACCTGTGGTTGGTGAGGTTGTCTAGTGGCTAGAAGCTACTAGGAACAAGTGCATCGCTACTAGTAGCAAGGGCATCGCTACTAGTAGCAAGTAGAACCAAGTATGGAGGACATATGAGGAATCTGCAGAATCCCAAACAAAACGCATAGCTCACTGCATATTTACACGCCCTGCTTGCGAAACTTGTACCAAAAACGTGTGGTCTACATGGTTGAGGGGGTCCCATTTGCAGAGACATACCAACCAACTCATACCAAAATAATCTTCCAGGAGCTGCGGGGCCCCAGCCTCTTCTTGTCGAGCACTCTGCAATGGCCGCAGCTGCCTCAAGCGCACCTGCTCGTGGTGCCACACTGCTTCCCAAGAAAAAGGAACACCTTGAATGCTCCAGAAGGGTGTAGCTCTACATATGTGTTGGATGCATGCTCAAATCAGGTCCAGCATATCCAAGTCCAACAAAAAAGGAATTCCTGAGATTTTTCTCCGACGGCCCGTCGTTCGCGCCTGCAAGGCCGCCACATTGGTTTGCTCAGACCTCAGCCATGGAGGTGGTCACGAACAAGGATGTCAAAGACATTGTTGGATTGCTCACTCATGACATTGGATGGTTCTGGACTTTTGCCACTTTGCGATGAACATGTGACGGCTCCATTCCTGCGATGAACATCAGCCCCGGTGGACCCGGTGCTCCCTGGAATGCGATGCTTTCAGCTCTTGGGTCCTCGCTGGCATTCCTCGCGGGCCACATCAAGCTCCTGAGAGGTTGCGCAGAGATGCAGTGCTCCGCATGCGGATCCGAACGATGGCTGTTGGTCGGCTCAACCGGGGGAAATTGGCACATCGAGAGACCAAACGCCTCGAGATTAGAGGAATGCAAGGCACCCTCTGATTCCTCTGACAAGACTCACAATACAGAAGGGAGAATAGAATCGAGCAACAGGCAAAGAGTGCACCTCTTCTGATCCCGGCAGGACTGCATAAATCCATGAACGCCAAGTCAGTTTGCTCCAGGGAAAACCACTATGAAACAGGTGGACATCATGATTTTGGACTTGCCAGTGTCCACTTTTCATATGTCATGGTGGATCTCGGTCTCTTCTCGACTCCTCCAAGAAGAATTAACAAAAGACAAACACCAGAATGTTGCTGTTTTGTGTCATTGTATTTGCTCAGGCCTAGGCTATAGGGCCACTGAACTTTTTGCCATGTAGAACACCGCTCACAAACCTAAAGTGCGAAGTTTTTTTACAAATTTGCAACACGTGGGGATGAATAAGACTCAACCTTTGTGGTATGCCCAAATTGAATCTGTACTATTGTGTGCCTCCTGATTTCTGCTGCTTCTCATGTCTGCACATTCTTTGTTCTTTGGTGTTGCGCTGATGTTTGTTACTTTTCCATGGGACATTGCAAAGACTGTTTTTGTGCACTTGTTACTTTTATGGACTGGTCCATTTGGAGTCTTTCTGATTCTCACCATGCCTATCTTGAATTCATGCTTGAAATCTACCCAATTCCTCGGTGGACATCCTTTATGACATCCTTTATTGGAAAGCTATCGACTCTTGCTCAGGATATCACCGTGCGAACAGCCCCCCAACGCCAAATACGCTAGTCTATTCCGAGAAAAACAAAACAAGCTATAGGCTTTCTTGGCTCCTAGTTCTTCAACATCCATTGACCCTTTAGCTTTCTTTCCTTGGAGCCCTTCCCTTCCTTGCAGTTGCATGGCTTCTCTCTGGACTTCACACCTGGCATTCCCCAAATGGAATCATATGAATATAACTAAATATCTATAACATTATACTACATAATATAACGTATAAACAACAAACACTATATATATATATATATACTAAGCGAAAACCAAACTTTGACCACCAACTGTCCCAAACACGATGGGCTCAGCTCCTGGAGTGTTGTCCCCACACTCTTGGAGAGTTCTCGGTGGCCGCGTTGCACAGAGACCAGCTCTGCCTGAGGATGGGATGGAATCAGGGAAAAAAGTAAACCAAGAAAGGGCGTCCCACAAAACCCCAAAGGATTCAGTTTGTATGTATTGGGTTGGTCTCTATCTTTTTATCTCCTTTAGGAGTGCCAAAGAATCTATGGGTCTGAACAAAAGCACCCACTACTTCGAACATATCTCACTTGAGAATCTAGTTTGTCATCCAGCAACTCGGGAGTGCCTCAAACAGAGGGCCCTACAACCACGTTGGAACAGTAAGATGATGACCACAGTTGGTCGGAGTTGAACTCAATACGGCAGCATTCTGGAAGTGGGAGATCCCCACAACCAATGGGTTTTAGTCTATTTATACCTTTTTGCAGCCCAACTGGGGGTCTTTGGCAGGAATCCTCCGGTTTTACCCTACCACGGGAGTCACCTCGAGAAAGAAACGAGTCCGACAAAGTGGTTGAATCACAACTTCATACCACATGCGCACACAGATAGACGCTCACAACTACGCTCACACTTGGGTCCCACACTTCATGAACCGCGAATGAACACAACACCATTTGTTTCTAACCAGTTGCGGCAACAGATTTCTCTCCAAACTGACGTAGATTCGATGCAGCTCGGTCAGCGACAAAAATCTGACTGAAAGAATCTGAAAGGCATGACGTCTCAAGGGATGACATTGGGCCTTGGGCATGGCATGGGTGGCCACTCCATGAGCTGCTAAAAACGGCTGTAGAAAATTGGTGCCTGGACGTGTTCTTTCGCGAGTTGTTTCACAGATAAAGCCCATCTGGGCGTTGGACAAATGGCCACATCTTCGTGAGACTTCTTTGGACGGTCACATTGCCCCCCTACTTGAGATCCTCTTCAACTGCAAAATTCTCAAATTGAGATACCTAGCAGCTAATCCTTCCCTTAGCCCCAAAACATGTGTTTAGAACATTTTAGAACAAGCAAGTGCTTTCCTGCCAGTGTGTGACTGACTAGTGCCCACTTGTTGCGAACCACCCCCAATTCCTGTCAATCTTCTCCCCAACTCCGACCCGCGCTGGCAACGCGCCGACCCGGCGCCTCCTGGCTGGCCAGTTCGCTGACTAGCTGTGCGTGTGTGGCGCGCAGGTCCTCCTCCTGACGCTGTGCCGAGTCTACTTGTCGGGTCTTGAGAAGCTGGCTTGGTTGGGTTGGTGGGGTGGCTGGTGCTGGTTGGTTGTGTTTTGTATTTTAGGTACCCTTCATCTAGGTTGAGAGGCCGCTGGCAGGGAGTAGGGGGAGCTGTCTGGTCTTGTTGTCTTGCAAATGAAGAATAGAGTATCCGCAAAGGAGTTTGTCGAGTATTTGTCGTTCTATGTAATGTACTACTATTATTTTAGGTAAGTAATACTAATGGATCTAATGGTGAGTACACAATAAACACCCAACGCTCTTAAACAGCAGAATTCATGCGTTTTGTCTTGAACCACCAAGCTTTCTTCTAGATACCCCAAAAGTAAGAGATCTGGGAAAAACTTGCTGTGCAACACGCATTGCAGCATAAGACTTTGAATATGTGGTGTTTTATATATATATATTGTTGTTTGGCCTCATAAACCAAACATTGTACTGCAGGTAAAGCCACTAAAACTGAACATGAAGGGTGTCCGCTTTCGACTACATAAAAATTCCAACCATGGGATTCCGGATCGGCAAATATTGACAAAGAACGAACTGTAGCAGCACCCAAATGAACAGGAATGCCAAGAGCAACATCCTGGCGGACAACGTCGTGGTCGAGTTATACCTAGTGTTGGGAACAAATGCCCCATCTTGAAGGTCGAATTTATTATGGTGAATCAACAGAACTGCCAAGCAAAGTCAGCAAATCTTGGTCATGACAAGCGCTCCCCTGACTAAAAGGGTCCAGGGAATGAATGCACTTCCGCACTAACACCTCACACGCTTTCAGCCTTGTCATACCAACGGCCCTCCTGCGATCAATGGCAAAAATAATACCTAGAACTTCATGTTGGGCCCCTTGCCACCATCCAGTCGCGCCTTCCGACGGGTCTCAACCTTCTTGGCCTCTGCTTCCCATGCGCCTGTCATCAGAGGGAAAAGGATGGAAACGGGATGAAAAGGGAAAACATGTCACCACAAAGTGCGGGATCTGGATAATGCATGATAATGCTCCAATGTGGAAGGTCTCTCCATTCACGACACTTTTAATGTGCTTGCTTTCGGCCAAACAACACCCGTCTGGGCATACCAAATCACCTAGGACCCCTGGGGGCCAACCCCATTTTAGCCTCCAAAGTGCTAATGAAATGGGGGGGGCCAAGATTTCAATATTTTCGCATCGTTTTCCATTTCCTGGGTAAATTGAGAGGTGCCAACAATTTCAGACGCTAGAAATCTCTGTATCGAGATTCAGCTCGCACACCTGATTTGCAAGGCCTGGTCAACTCTCAATCAGCTGCAGTGTCAGCCCCCTAGATTTTATTTTTGCGCCTGCTTCTGACTCTTCTGATTTGTCATTGTCTGGTGCGACTCTGTACGTGAGAGGATTAGTTGCAGTCTCCATACGACTTGCAAGTGAAAAGTTAGTAGAAAACTTGGAGTTGGCCCTTACCATTCTTTTCATGTGTCAGTATTTGTCCTCCGTCACCTTTGAGTTATGTTGGAATGATGCAAGAAGATTATTTTCCAGGATGCTGACCTGTTTTTCTGCACACCTGTTTGCTTGTTGGCCCTTGCCAATTTAGCCAGTGGTCTTTGTCACCCTTGTACCCCTTTGTAGTCCATTGTCCAGGGGATTGCCCCATGGATGTAAACATGTTTGCCTTGCAACTTGTTTTTTGTGCGCTCAACTCTACAATCCCACCACATAACTCCAAAGAAGGACTTTCAAAGTCTCCAGACAAACAGAATTCCCACCAGGTGTTGCTCTCTTCCCAAGGCTGTGTGTGTGTGTCCTCAGCATTGGTAGTCTTGGTTTTTGCTTTGAAGCTTGGCCCCTGCCACTTCAGCCACACACTTCATTGCCAGGTGAGGTCCAACAACAATAGATAATCATACCATGGTGGTGTGATGCAAGAAGTCTATTTTCCAGGCTGCTGACCTGTTTTTCTGCACACCTGTCTGCTTGTTGGCCCTTGCCATTTTAGCCAGTGGTCTTTGTCACCCTTGTACCCCTTTGTAGTCCTTTGTCCAGGGAATTGCCCCATGGGTGTAAACATGTTTGCCTTGCAACTTGTTTTTTGTGCGCTCAACTACAATCCCACCACATAACTCCAAAGAAGGACTTTCAAAGTCTCCAGACAAACAGAATTCCCACCAGGTGTTGCTCTCTTCCCAAGGCTGTGTGTGTGTCCTCAGCATTGGTAGTCTTGGTTTTTGCTTTGAAGCTTGGCCCCTGCCACTTCAGCCACACACTTCATTGCCAGGTGAGGTCCAAACACAATAGATAATCATACCATGGTGGTGTGATGCAAGATTATTTTCCAGGATGTTGACCTGTTTTGCTGCACACCTGTTTGCATGTTGGCCCTTGCCAATTTAGCCAGTGGTCAGACTCAGACTGATTTTATGTTTAACATAATTTTCTTGTCTGGATCAGGTCGGCCCCCTTTGACCTTCAAAATCAGGTCGGCCCCCTGGCTAAGATCTATCTCCTTCCAGGGGGCCAAGTACCCCCATCTTAGCCTCGATCCCCAGAGGGGTCTCCAAACATACACGTTAGTCACCTCCTTCACTGCGAAAAAGAAAACACATCAACACAGCGCTTTCCAATGCTTTCCAACGACATTCAAACGCCACAGCTAAGGTCAAAAAAGGTCATGCGACGTTCGACGTTGGCAGCCGTTGGTACGAAAAGCGAATAGTCCACCACTCCACCACGCTCAGCCTGCGCGGGCCGATTCCAGCTCTCGGCTCAGCCGCAGCTGTGCGTTTTGTCGCGCCTCAGCACAAGGTGCGATGCTCAGCACGGGCACTCACACGGGCGCACGAGTCGAGCGATCCTTCTGCACCACCCCTCTAGGGGAAAAACGTTAAAAGAACCGTTTACTACATGAGGTCGGGGCTCAACTTTGGAAAAGCTGTTCGAACACCACGTGACTCCAGTCGAACACCAGGGGTCCAATACAAACTACTACAAGCAAAAATTGGATCCGAAGAGTGGTTGTCAAAGCGGTTACACTTAACACGTGCTGTATGTAGCCCTACCACCGCCACCGGAGTGGCCCGCTGGTGTCACGGATGTGGAGGGTCCATCGCTTGTGGAGGGTGGTGGCAAGTGCAAACAAAGACTTACTGGTGCGACGTCGTACCGAATGAGGGAATGGGAGTGAACCCTCAATAGAGATTCTTTTGGATCCATCTCTGCATTCCTTTCTTTTCGTGCCAGTCAGAAGGCAACAAAAAATAAACTTGGTCAAGCGGCAGGCTGCGAGTCTTATGCATAGGGACTTCACTGATTTTCTGGAACTTCTTCCAGGAGCTTCAGAAGGGGGGGTTCATGGGGGTTCCAACGTTCCATGATTCAATACCACACCAAGAAGTCGGCCCCTGTGGACCATGACCAGCACTTGCATCAGGTCAGGCGTGCCATCCTCACATCGTTAAGAAAATGATCGCATGACCGGATCATCACCTCCACTTTTTACAAGTGAACTTACCTGTGGAAAAGACTTTAAACAACATCTACCAACTAGAGGCTCTTGGGTCGCCGCCCCGATCAAACATGCGTAACCACACGAAGAGCTCACGCAAAAGAAGGTTGGTATTCGCCCAACACATTGGGGTATTCTGCCTAGCAACATTGACTGCCCTTTTACAAGACTTCCGAACATTTTTCAGGAAAACGCTTGACGGCGCTGTTTTGGACATTTGCGTGGACATCTCAAACATCATCGGACCCCTACCCAGTACCCGCAGCTGCCTGCTCTTCCTGCTCCAAGGCAGCTTCTTCTTGACGCCCCAGAGACACCTGACCAAAGACCAAACGAATTTGATGTAGATCCATGCTCTAGTCCTTGCCTCTGATGTAGATCAATATCAAATCGATTGGAGTTGTCCTCCGCGTGGAGACCCACACTGACCAGGGTTGGAGCGGACAATTTGCCCGAATGCATACCCTTTTCAAGGGTTGTGTGAATACTACCAATTACCCAATACAATAGTGAACTACCAATAGCGATAAAAATGGCCTCTGATGGTTCCTTTGCTGTGCTTTCAAATTCTCATCCGCCCGACCTCCAGACCCGACTCGACCCGGTGAGAACGGCCTCATTGAGGAGCTGCTGCCGTTCGGAGCTGCTGCGCTGCAAGTAGGCCTCATTATTGGAGCAGAAGCTCCAAGTGCTGAAACATATGTTGCTTGGTTTAAATGTTTAGAATAAAACATATATAGAAGTATAGAACACATACAAAACATGTAGAACAATGCCTGGAAACATATAGAACATGTGGCAACCATGAAAGCATCTAGATAACATGTAAACACATGGGGAGGTGAAAAATGTAAACACATGTGGGAACAAGGTAGAAAATGTGGTAGGCAATATGTAGAAACGTGTGTAATTAATTGTTTCTAACTGTGTGCAAACACATAGAATCATGTGCACTAATGTTTACGTAAATACCATGCCCGCCCAAACAGTGATACATTAAGGGCGGCTCATGGAGTCATGGAGCTGCCGAAAAGAAAGGCTTTACAAGATCATGTGATAGTCGAAGTCCCTTTTCATTCCTTCGCAAAAACAACGCTAAACAAAAAACAGGTGACTCACCATATCAAAGCAACGTTGCAGCACTTCTAAAGCGAACAGCAGAATCAATAGAATCAACTAACACCTGACACAGTGACTTTTAACATAAACAAGCTAGTTCTCCAAGTTGTTTGTATGTTGTGATGCCTATCTGTTTACAAACACTTATTCTACGCACTAAATTTGTTGAGTCCCCAAAGAATTACATACAAGTGGCAAACAACTTCTTATAAGAACTTACATCACTTGCTAAACATATATTATATGTTATTGGTAAGATGTGTCCAAGTTGTTCAAGGCTCCACGACCAAAAACAAACAACAAAGATCAACAAAGGATGAATTTCAACATTTGCGTTCCAAGGGAAAGCATCCACATGTAGGCCCCACGGCCACAAGGCAAATGTTTGGCTAGGTTGAACAAGGCGCTTGGGCGGTGGGCGCAACAGTGTCCTGAACAAACACTCTCACAGGAATTTCTCTGGTCCAAGCTTTGTCAAGTTTGAAGAGCCACAACTGACACTTCCCAATATCGTCTTTGGCGGTCAACAAATGGAACGATCTGTGAATAAGCCTTCTTGTGCACTTGAAGTGGGTCGGGCGCCAGATCTTTTGGATGTTTTCGACCAACTGCCTAGGCAAAGCGAAGGATCTGGTCGAGATTTCTTGCTGATTGTGGCCCTGCCTCGTCAATCTTGACTCCGGAGACGTGAAAGTGAGAAAAACTGAAAGCACTTGCCACCACTGAAGCCATCCAACATGTCAATCTGACTGTCCGTACTACCGAACAATAGTCCTCCAACAGGACGGCAGTGGACTTGGAACAGACCTGTGACCATACTGCACTGGCAGCGAGCCGTTCCGTGGCTCAAAAGGCTTTGGAGGAGTGCGGGCTGCATGGATCCTATAGGGCACGTCCTTCGCGTGCGTGCGCCACTCCCACGTCGTTCTCTGCAAACGCCGGACATCATCACTCTCAAGGTAATGTTTCTTTAAGAACTTTCGCCTAGGTTTGGAGGTTTGGGACCAGATTGCATATAAACTTGCATTCTGATCGGCTCTTATCTTGTGGTTGGGGTGCCAGAATGGCCAATGTCTGCAGCAGCAAAACAGTGCATGACGGCTGTTCTGTGCCGCACAGAAGCTTCAAAAGTTTGCGCACTCAGGCGTCGCTTGGTCATAGGTGTAAATGGCTTGAACCTCATCACTGGTCGCCCTTGCTTTACCAACTGCTTTCTGTGCATGAAGATGGCTTCCTGCACCAAATCGCTGGGAAGTTTGCGAGAGCCAGAGTCAAGCTCCTTCTGCACGATTGTCTTAATTAGAGTACGAAGTCTGGCGTCCCATGTACCAGGAATAGCCGCCCATATCCCACAAACAAAAAGTATCAAGAAACTCAGATGCAGGAAAGAGACGTGAAATGCATGAGCGGCACTTCAATAATCTTCAATACATATTGCTGTAGTGAGGTCATTTCGCGTTTCCATTCTCATGTTCTGAGGCTGAAATCAGTGAAGGACATGGTATGCTTTCATGTGGCCAGCCTAGATGGCCCACCAGGCCTCAGTCCGGCCCACCAAAACAAAGAACGACACCGCTGCCGAACGCCCGAAGGCCCGAAGGCCCTGGCCTCCAGGGTCTGGACTTCACCTTTGGCGCTCCGAAGCTTCGAGTCCATCTGCAGCTCTTGGTCTTCGGCTTGCAAGGCCTCAAAAGAAACAGGGTGGGCATGTCGTGTTTTCATTGTCCATGTTTGTTGGTGTAGATCGTTATGTTTTATGTATTTTTTCGTGCCTCCAAAGGGCTTTGATGAGAACAATTCGTCAGAGCGCTTCGCGTTGGGAAGGCGCTGCCATTTTACATCAACAGCTAAACATGTTTAAAGATGTTTAAATTGAATGGATGGATCATGGGGATCATGGGGCGCTCCCAACATTTGCTCCTCAGTGCGTTTCAGGCTTTGGATATGGAGCATATTAACAATAGGCACCTGGAGGACATCATGAGCCAGTGGAAATCTAGAAAATGTTCTCCAACTTAGGATCTTGCCAAACATCTCAAAACATGTTTGATAAACCCCCACTACCATCTGCAAATCATAGGGTGAGGAAGTGCTGGCAGCCGCTGGACTATGCCATGCCATGCTATTACTCCAATTACTCTGGAAAACGAAAACAAACACTTCTATGACAAACAACTAGAAAATACTAGAGAGCACTATCCCATTTGGCAGATCAAAAAGATCCTAAAAACCCTTGCTTCACCCAAAGTCACATAAAATAACTGCCTGCTTTCCCAGACCTCTCTGCATCTCTCTGTATTTCGAGTCAACCCCGCAGCCGCCCTCGCCTCGTGGCTGCTTCGAAGCACGGCCTCTTCCGAGGCCTGCACCTCCAGCCGTTGTGTTTCCAAGAGGCCTCGTTTCGGCGGAGACGGCGAGAAACCAAAGGACTTGGTCTGGCTTTGTGAACTCATCGTTTTTGGTATGTGTAGGCAAAAGTTATTTGTATAACCGAGTGGGAGCGGATCAAGCCTTGCAAAGCCATACCGGCATAAACCAATAAAGCGAATCGAAACGTAATACAACTGATGGTTGCATCCACATTGCTGTTCCTTTTCCTTGATTAAGACCATATATGACCATTATAATTGTTTTGGTCCGCCCAATCTATTTGAAGTCTACTTGAAGGCCTTCACCGCATGGGTGTCCATGTCGCAAAGGACGAGAGCAGTTTTTGTGTGAACCTTAAAGCATCCCATAAAAACAATAAACACCCGGCACCTCCCCATGTCAGCCACCCCTTTTCACAGCCCAGCCACGGCTTTGCATCTCTTGGTGGGTCTTCAGCGCCGCAAGGCGAGCCAAGAGGTCGGCACCTCGGAGATGGGTCCACTCAAGGATCCCCATGGCCAGGAGCCCCCAGTAGCGTCCTCTTGCTCCGCCCTTTGCTACCAGTAGCTTCTTGTTAGTAGTAAGGCCAGGAGCCCCTAGTAGCTTCTTGCTCCTAGTAGCTTTCATGAATGGAGAACCACAGCCCAAAGAAAGGAATTATAACTGCAAGCCTTGTTTGTCATGTTTGCAGACAAAGGCGAGACTACAAAAATCCCCATGCACTGCTTCATGTTTGGCAAATTACATCTATAAATCTATTGACATGTTATACTATGGAGGAAGCCCCCTCGTGTGCACATGTCCATGGTTCACAGCATGAACCGGCAGTGCTCGGATGCCCCCACCTTGCAAATGACCTGCCCGTCCCCGCAACGAACAAATCGTTGGTCTGTGATCCCATGATACCCAGAATGAAGGGCTGGCCCGAGGTCAATCGGCGTGTGTAGACTGTAGACCCCCATGCACTCCCATTCCGGCTCGTGCCCTCACCAGAAGAATTCCAGGTTGAGACGTAAAATGACGGCCTCCAGTTCTGGGCATTGGTGTTGAACCAATTTTGCCAACATATCCCTCCAGTGAAATCAACTAGCCTGTCTTTGTTCCAAACACCATGCCACCATTAGCACATTCAAAAAACACTCAACGGGGCCACACCATTTTCTGAGATGAGTAGTCAGAGGCTTTTGCGTCGCCCTGGATCTGGTGAGTGTTTCAATCCTCCATTGGAGATCCACGGTGACAGCAAATGCAACTCCCACTTGAGCTGCGGCAATACAGGCCTCGCCTGAGGCCTTCACTAAAGGACTGTGGCTCAAAGGGCGAAGGACTCAACAAGCCACGATCGTCAGCAAATTCCAGGACTCTCTTGTTTTTATCCACGTTCACGGTTGTTTTTCTTCAACCCGTGGTAGTTCCTAGTCACCTCAAATTGAAGGAACCCTAGTCAAGTGAGAAAAAACATGCACGTACATGATAATCCGGATGCACCAGTCTGCATGCATTCATTCCACCGACTGTTGTGCAGCTTTGTAAGTTTCAACAGCTTGAGACTTGAAATGTCACCAAGCAACTGTTGCTACGGAGGCTGTAGCGTGCCAAACAATTTGCAGCTCAATGGCGTGGTTGGCGCGATTTTCAGGCTCCAAACAACCAAGCATAAATCTCGACCATTGCTGTTCTTCTTGCGCCACCTAAGGAGCTCTAGGGATGTATAATATAACGTCGTCGCTACATGTCATCAGGTATCCACTGCCCCACTCTGATGTTGCACCCTCCAATGCCCCGCCTCAAAAAGTTGCTTGGCGGTCAACCCTCGTCCTGCAGTGGGCTTCAGCTGGTTGACCACTGCATCTTCCGACTCTTCCGCAAGGTTTATCAGTCTGTGAGGCTCTGGCAGCGGGCCGATCGCCCGCAGATCAGTCTGGCATGAAGGTGTGGCTCATCGGCATATGAATGAGATCAATCACAAGTGATCATCTCAAAACTTGGAGGCATACATTCGCCTCGCCTCACCAGCTCGTTTTCTGTAAAAGCTGCTGGTTTTGCACTCGCTCTTGGATCTCCTGGTTCTCACTCAGCGGTTCAACTCTGCACTCCCTCCTGCACTCTGCTCGGCACTGCTCGGCAGCTCGCTGCGGACTTGGCAACAACATTAACAATCCTGGGAATCACGTCAGAGACAAGTCCAAACCAAGCCAGATTTCATCGGGCCCATCTTCGATTCCAGGTCCACACTTGTAAATTCTCCCTGAATCGAAGGAATCACTTGTTGGGTCGCCTGTTGGGGAGCCAAGGCATACCATAACCTGTTCTGCGCCGAACAAAGATACATCATCAAAAACAACCATATATTTACACTCTTGCCACCCCGGTGCACCCCTGGTGTCCATTGGGTTTGCCCGGCGCAAGCGCCGTGACTGAGCGGCGTCCGCGTGAAGCTCCGAAAGCTTGGCCTGGCCGCACAGCTTGGAAGCGGGGGGTTGAGAAAACACAAGCCAAAGTGACTGGTGACCAACCAAAAACACCCAAGGTACACTCGTAGAAGTGGAAGTAAACCCATTTGTCACCTCCATGCTAGTGAGTCGGAATGTATCTTTCCAAAGTACTGGGACATCCACAAAGCCCTGCAATATCCTTCAATATGCTTTATATAGCTGTAACTTCTCTTTGACCAGATGATCTTGCAGGAACACCTTGGCGAAGCATGCAAAACATCAACGATGCAGTGGGCGCTAGTCCAGGGGGTGGGTTGCTTCCGTGCGATGTCGTGAGCGGATTGACAATCATCGCCCAGGAGCCTAATACCAATACAGTATTATCTACATGAAGGGTCTCCACATGTCTCAACAAAGTATTCAGCTCACTTACCCGAATATGCCTTTATGCTTATCAGCGCAAGGAATTTCTGTCACACAACGCCTCTGCATCCCTCATCCGTCCCTCAAAAGCCGCTTCTTTTCCTCCAATTCTTCCGCCTCGGGTGAAACTGAGAAATGCTCAAACCAACGGTTTGTGGACAGCTCCTAGCCTCGTGGACAGTACCTGGGTGGACAGCAAGGTGTGATCAAGGAACATCCCTCAACGCATGAAGTTTTGAAGTTTTTTTGCATCCGCGCTGTGGCTGCCTGATTCCAAACTGGAAAGCTACACTTTCCACACGGATGTGAGATCCAGTTCCATGCCAGCAACAGAGGGTTTCCTGCAGGCGACATGCCAGTGGTCGCTGGTCACTTGCAAGGTTTGTGTTTTCGTTCCCTTCCTGTTTTGCAGCTTTGCACGGCATGATTTGTTTCGTATCTCAAGCATTCCGCCGTGTTTTTAGTTTGGCGCATCCCATTCTTTTTCCAGCCACGTCGACCGTCGGCGTTTCGCGCGCCCGCGTGGCCGCGCGTTGGTCGCGCCGCGTCCGAGGTGCCAGTTGACCTTCCCCCGCGGTGCCGAAGGCCCCTGGCGGCGCTTCGCGAAGCGCACGCCGCGCTTCAGCTGATAGACCTCCCCATCGTCGTTCACCGGGCAGTAGCCGATCTCGGTGACAGCAGCGAAGCATGGACTTGGCATATGTCTGCTGGTCAGGCGTGCGAGCAGGAGGGCAACATGTACAGGGAGAAATGTACAGGGTTTGTCTCATAGTTCAAATTGAAGCGCAGCCAAAGCACCCTCTTGTGGATCCCACATGTCAAAGGTTTTGCCAAATAGGCAGTTGTGGCCTACATCTCAAAATCTGAACCCCCCCAAAAGAAACAGCCCAGTGGGCTGGTTGTTAAAGTACCAAGTATGGAATCCCACTCTGTAAGAGTTGCCTCTTGGCCACCGTTTGGTCTCAGAAATCCATGGACTTCGACATTTGCTTCGAGGAGCCGGAGTGAGGACCAACTTGGGTGCCACGATGTGATGGGGCACCTGCAGGCTGGGCGGTTGCCATACGACGGCCACGGGGTCTGTCTCAAGATGAACCTCCCAATTTGATGAATCTGCCAGATGTCTCAAGATGAATATGAAAGAACCTCCCAATGAGTCGTGTTTCATCTAAATCGTCGAGTGAATCTGGTGACCCTGCCGTTCTACTACGAATAATAAGGCAACCAGGAGTTGTTGATTGATATGTATATACATATATATATATATGTCTTGAGATATATTGAAAAAGAAGCAAACACTAGTCACTGCTACCATCAATTGGTGATGCGATATGTGATTCTGCGCTGAGTGATATGATGTGGATGTCAATAAAACTCTCAAACCGACCATCTCCAAGTTACCCCCCCAAACAGCTCCCACACAGACTCTACTCAGCTCCGGCACCTCGTTCCCCAGGCTCTTGACGTCTTTCCGCCGCAGCTGCACTTGGGCCGCCTCTTCGTTGACACGCTCTGAGAAGCTCCTGTTTGGGGGGCGAGACGCTCCGAGCCACAAAGGTCTATATCAGTGACAAAAAAAGGTCACACATTCCAACAACTGATTGTTGTGTTTCAGTATCTACAAGAACTTCACGAGAACCTTCCAACGTTGGACAAGAATGAGAAAAGAATAGAAAAAGGCTATAGTTGTACTCCATCAAACCAATCTCTCCTGGTCCATTCCATCAGCTTCTGTGCCTCCTCGGGCACTTTGCTCGCATCCAGCAGCTTCACATTTGCGCCGAAGCGCATCAGTGTTTGCACCTGATAGCACGGGGGGCTGAGCGGATGGCTGAGCGGATGGCATGGGATGGCAAGGACCCTCAACAGTTCCCCTCAATTTGGCTTGGCTACACCTTTATGTGATTCAATTATAGTATTCTGACAGGACTTGGAATGATGTTTTGTTTATCATGTTTTAGCTCATTATACCAATGATACAACAGTCATGATTCTTGTGGGCATCCTCCAGGGAAAATGACTTCTGAACCAAGCTCCACACGGGCTTGGTGGACGCCCTTTGTCCATCCTGAATCAATCCTGCCTGCCGCATGAACTTTGACCATCCATTCCACATTGGACCATCAGATCAGAATCAAGCCCCTGGTCAGAACCTTTCTCCGACATCAGGGAGAGCTAAACTATCATTTATCGCACAGTTGCACCATCCAATCAGGTAGGTACCAACCAAATGTGAGGGGCGATCAAAAAAAGTTGCTCCTCACAATAATGCAACAAGCTTGGGCACTGTGGAGTTGCTGCCCTTCTCCATGGCCAGTTGCAAAGGAGTCTGACCTGTCAAGGTGGCGTTGTGGTGGGCAGTTGGAAACCTTCTCTATACTTGAAGTCACCTGAAAATTGATGCCTCTGTCTCTTAAACATCAAAACCTGGAACTGCAAACCGCAGGTTGACCTGGCTGGTAATCTATTCTGTTCATTTTAAGTAGTCAACCATGGCCACATTTTGGAACCTTGTGAAGAAATGCTGATGCTCCCCCGCTGATAGCTCGTATGAGTGCCATGTGACATGTGAGCACAAAAGGAATATCGACTGGCTGTACGTCCTCATGTTCAGAAATCTCTAACGCTGCTACCAAACCTTCCTTATTTCAAGATTGCAAAAACGTGAATCATCATTACATTACATTGCACATGAGTACTACCATTGCCCCTGCCTGCAGCGTCCCGAGCATTACTGGGCGCCCGCCCACGCGTGAGCAGCAGCTGTGCAGCCTCGTTCTGGCCGTTCTGGGCTGCCTCGTGCAACGCAGTGAGGCCTAAACGATCCTTCCGCGCGCAGTTGGCCGCCATGTCCAGGAGATAGCCCAGTGGCCGTAGCAAACCTAGCAGGACAGTTTTGACCAAGGGGTTGTAATTCTGGACACTGGAATTAGTCCACCTTAAATGTTTGCTCCGCTATCAATTTTAGGGCACCGCAGAATACCACTCCACTAACATCAAAACATCCCACTTTCATAGGCTTGAACATGGCTTGAACCCTTGGGGTGACTGGTCCCCCGCCTTTGGCGGCCACTGCCTGCAGTAAGCTTCGCCCATCTTCATTCAATGGAGCGTTGATCGCAGCCTTCACGTCCGCATCGTAGGGACCGCTCTTCAAGGTCCAAAGGAGGCGTGCACACCTCGGGTGGACATCGTTCGAGGCGATGGGATGGGGAATCGCTAGGGAGAGCCTGGTGTCTTTTTCAGCGAAAAAGCTGGGGCATGCCGAAACGTCTAGTTCGTGGTAAGGACCAATCAGATCCACTCCCTCAAGTTGGCCCTCCTTGCAATGGCAATATGCTGCATTGATGCAGAAGAATTCCTTTCAGATCTAACATGCACGTATCCCCCCTCCCCTTTTCTTTAGTTCAAGTTTCTGAAATTCATCCTCTTCTTCTGCTGCCTGGTAGGCCTCCTTGACCACCTTCTGCGGCGTCGTTCCCCCACTCGGCGCTTGAAAGCGCTTGGCCGCCGCCAGCTGCCGATCCCTCCACAGCGGCGTCTGGGTCCCGATGCACCGCGCGGCCGCGCTCGTGCGCGGCAGCGCGGCCGCGCCGGTGCGGAGCAGGCAGGTGAGACGAGGGAGGAAGGCCATGGAAGAAAATGGGAAGGATGAAGCCAGATGTGGTCGGGTTGAGAGATGTAGAACGAGTACTTTCTGACTCGCTGACTCTGAAGTTCTGAAGGGATCCTGCATCCGTCGAAAAACATGCATTGATGGGAATGATTGCGGATAGTTTCAACATGTTTGAACCGATGAGACCTTCCAAATCAGTCCAAGTGCTGTAAGACACAGACATAGTGTGTGTCAGGAACCAGGCAGCCAAGAGCTCGCCGGAAGGAACTAGGGGACTCACAAGGACTCATCTCAACACAGGAGCGGCCGGAAGGAACACGGACCTGGGGGCTGAAGTTGTACAGGAAAGCATCTGTCAACATTCTGAAGGAGAAACTCCGATGCTGGCTGCCAGTGTTAATATAGAATACTAAATACTTGAGATCTTGTTCATCTCATGCTTAAGTATGTACTCATGTTTCTAAGTAAACCTATTGTCGACATGTCCACATTTCCACATTATATTAACATCTGTTCACATCCACATAACACAAGCCACCTTGAATTCCAAGGATTGTTGTGCGGTTACAGGTAGGCTGTATAATATTAAATAATATGGTCTAAACTACAAACCTTCGACAACCTGAAGACTCACATGAACATCATTTACTCCCATCCACGTCTTTTTGGGGAACCGTCGACTTTGACCATCCCTCAGTTGTGTGTGTTGGAAAAAACACAAAACCTTATCCCCACTGATCACCAACATCAAAACACAACCACCAACCACTATGACAACCAACTGGGTGAACTTGGCTCCCCATCCACTTGAACCGACCAAGACGTCTGCGCCCCGTCACTAACCGACCTGTTGGACACCGTCGTTTACTGCCCGCGCCTTGGACCGCTGGAAGCGCTCTGAAGGCCTTGCCAAGTCAAAGGCTTCCACTTGGTGACTCAAAATAAAGGGTACAAAGCATAGAAACACCCTCGCAACACCGTCACTACCATCACTACCTTACAACCCAACGAAGGTCAAAGGACAGAAAGGAAAAGCTGGTGATTGCTGGTGTACGGTGTACCCCACAAAGTTGCTGAAACTCATGCCTAGTCGGACCCCTGTGACACAAACAAAAGCACTAAGTCGGCCATTTTCTTTCTGTTGCGAACAAATGACGTGCGGAAGCTGGACCAAAGTGACCAAAGATCCTGTATGCTCCGTGATGGCTTGGCTCCGCTGTGACCGCTGTGTCTCTCTTGATGACCATCACAAGGTGTCGAGTACAAGAACAAACACTGTCTGTCTGAACAACAAAGCCTCCCAAAAATGCAAAGATGTTGAACAGCTACACGTGGGAATGACAAAAAAACACTTGATGACCACTCCTGACGCTTCGTGATCGCCCCTGTATCAACCAAACTGCGGGCCGGTTCGGGGTCTCATGAGACCCGGTTCTGAGGTACAGTAGATCAATGATGAACCCATGAAGTTCCTTGTAGGTCCGAGTCCAAACCCATTCCGAATCAGAAAGAACAACACGACACCCTCCCATCGCCTGTTGGCCTCGGCTGTTCTCAACTCTTCTTCCAGTTGGCCTTCGCACAAAAGCAACATGAATTGCGCAAATAAGGCACCGCAAAGCTGGGAATGTTGCTTGGTTCTGGCAAGAGTTTCGCCCAGAATATCTGCATGGTCTGTGGACATGTATGTGTTTCTTGTTTTCGAAGCTTTCCCTTCATATATCCTTGGTATATTTATGTATATCAGGAACTTAGTGACTTGATCTGCGATGATACCTCAACCAACGAAGCTGACTTGGGACATCACTGGCCCATGGCAAAGCCTCAGTTGCCAATATACCACTCCTCCCACATCAGCAAGTTCTCTAACTATGGATGGTCAACCAAACACCAAATCAGCAAAGATTGTTATATGTAATAGTAATAATTATTATATAATTTGTGATATCATGTGATGGTTGTTTCGATAACAATGTCCTTTTCCCTCTTTACCTACCATGCCGATCTGGGGACCCCTTCAGCATTGTGCCAAATGCTCTTCCTCTTGCACGCGGGCTGCGTCTTCTTCGGCCTGGGGGTGTGACACACGGTCTTGATTGAGATTGAGACGAGGGTGTCCAACACATCTTGCACCTCTTCGGCTCATCTGAACTGGTGACTCAGCGTTCACCACGGGTGGCACCAGCATGCAGTTGCGTCTGACCACTGAAACCGTATTTGGTATGCTGGAAAATCATGGACCCCAGCGGGAAATCAAGGTCTTGCGTTCTGGAGTACATTGATGGAGTACATCGGTCAACAGTCGACAGTCAAACCAGACCAGGCCAACCCCAAGGTTCACCAGAAAATGTCCCAAATCCCCACCAAATCACCTCACTTCCTTCAATGAGTTTGGATTCGTCCTGGGCAGGTAGAAAGCAATCAGTCCGTCCTGGGAGGGTCGGGGTCCATCCGGGGGGTCGTGGGGTTCCGTTCGGCACGGAGAGCTCTGGGGCACGGAGAGCTCGGTGGGCAGCGTTTCTGTTCTTGGGAGAGTAGCATATATTAAAGTACATAATTGCAAAAACAACCTGATGCCGCACCCTTTTCAACATGTTTGGAACTTCAGCCTTGCTTAAAGGTCGTCGGTCCCAGTTCCCTGCCTCGAACCGCTGCAGCGTCTCTTCCTCCACCTGCGGGGTCAACAGAAATGCGCATGCAATATCCCACTTCATGTAGGTGTCCATGAAGGTATCTTGCTGTTGCTACTGTTGATCAAAGGACACCTACACCTCCTGGTCACCCGGCATGCACAACACATCGCGGCGTATCCGGCATGCCTGCATCCAAAGCGGGACCCACGCGAGTGAGGACCAGTGTGACTACTATGAGGACCAGGTGCTAGCCGGGCTTGATGCATCTTGATGTCACAATTGATTCAGGCGGGTTTGGGCTCACTTCAAATCCCGCAATACATTGCACATGTTGCTGTACAGAGCTGCTAGTGAATCCGATCATCTCCGAAACCAATACTCTGAAAACCCACCCGGCAAGTAGGCAAACATGAAGCTTTGAAGGAATGTTCTCTATTTGCAACATGCAATTCAGCCAGGTCTTGGACCCTCCCAGTGAAGGCACCATTGGCCTTCTTCAGAGACAAGAGCTCCTCTTCCAAGGCTCTCTCCTCCATCTCTTGAGCCTGCACCATCGGAAGATGGATAAACGTCGGGGACAAACGTGAGCTTCTGCATCTTCGGTTTGGACGATGACCCCCGACATTTCACCCATCCACAGCTGGATAAGTCTTAGCTCTTGAGATCTTGAGATGGATAAGTCTTGGCCTTGGCAGCTCAAGCAAAATCGAAGAATTTCAGGATGCTGGGCTCCACAAATCCAGTGAAAGACAATTTGACACAGCAAAGCACCGAAAAAGAAACACAAATTCATCGACTACTAAGTCAATGCAAGATTTCTGTGTCAGCTCAACCTGTAACTCACCAGATCATAGTTTCTTTAAATGGACAATTGTCCCAACCCTAGCAACAATCATAACTTCTCAAAAATGATGCCCACCCCGCCCCGTCCTTTTGTGCATCTAGGCCCATTGCATTCTTAGCAACCCCTGAAGGGCTGCTCTGAATGAAGAGTATATAGGCTGAGTAGGTTCTTACCAGGTTTTGCATGCTTTCAATAACAAAGCAACTCGCAACTTGCCCTCTGCGACTCGCGAGTGGTGCACCTTTGCTCATTTGCTCTCCCAACGCTCTCCCCACTCGCACCTTGTTGTCCAAAAGCAAGGGCACAGGTGCCACCAAATCCTGGCAAGAAACTGTCTCTTCTCAGTGGTTGTCCGCGAGAACATTTAGCAGTGCTAATTTTGAAACAAACAGTTGTAATTTAGCATGTGAGGCTTCGTCCAAGTTGGTTATGCCCCCGAAAGGCACATGGGATCCAAATGGTAGCTTGGCAGCTGATTCCAGCAATAAGAGTGTCAAAACACCCAAACCTTTTAATCCGCTTTCACACAAAGCCCCCAACATTCCATGGCCGCCAACCTGGAGGATGAGCTGCATCGTTCGGCAAACCAAAATTCCTCTGAAACCCATAGTTCTCGGCTTGCTCAGCTCTCAGCTGACAGCCCTGGCCCTGAACCATTTCTCAGGTGGCAAGTCGGATGCTATGGTCCGGCGTCGGATGTCCGGCGTTGGGCCTTGGGATGCTGCTGAAGCTGAAGAGCAGCTTGCTTGGCCTTAGCAAAAAATGAAACAAATCCTCCGTAAGCAAGGCAACCTCAAAGGCGTCTCAAATGCACTATGGTGAGGTTTCAAAAAATGAACTCCACCAATCGAATCGCGCCATGCTGGTAAGACCTCATACCATTACCATGGTTGTGAAAATGGCTCAAGCGACCAAGTTCCTAAACTCTCAGGATGGCGAACTATACAGCGAAGCACGGACGCTGCTGAGTTCCCAGGCCACCAAGAGCCTCTGCTGGGCACTGCTTACATCGCCTGGGCAAGGAAGGGGTGTCCAGCCGGTGTAGCAACAGGGACACCCAGATTCATCAGATCCTTTGGAAAAAGACTGTATACTGATGTATACTGTATACAGAATGACTAGGTATTTTTGTAGAGAAACAAATTCAACATCACCTCTCTGTTCACAGTGTTGGCTCCAACAAGATTTTGCACGTTTGGTGGGAACTGATTCACCTGCTCCAAAAAACAATGGTTTGGGCATCGTTGGGCATTCATTCTTGCGGAAGCTCCCAGGCCAATGCAAACTCCAAGGGAAACAGTACTGATATCAGTACCATGCCATTTATGAAACCCAAACTTGTTAAGGACAACTTTCATAATCACAAAAGAATACATGCAAACCCACAGCTTACGAGGGACCTCACACAGTGTCCGCGTCCAAGCGCCCGTGCGCAGGCCCTTGGCCATGCGCTGTTCCGCCAGCTCGGCTCGGCGTTCGGCCGCGGCCAAGTGAGGCCTGCCGCAGTCGAAGCAGTTCACCACGGTGACCCCACACAAGCAAAACACACATGGTATGTGTGTGTGTGTTGAACAAACAGGATCCGATGACAGTGCACCAAATGTCAAGCGGTCCAATGGTCAATGGTTGGAGGGTTCCAGGTTTGGACCGACATACTTAAATATAATCCTTTTGGCATCTTGCTTTGCTCTATCGGGTCTATCGGATCTATATTCATTGTTGCTGACTTTGCTGTCAAGATTGGCATTTTCCCACAAACCATCAGTCAACCACCAGTTCAATCGACACAGGTGTGAACGGCCTCAGCGCAGCGCATTGCTGCTGCAACTCTTCCTGCAGCAGCGACAGTTGTGACCTGGGCGGAAGAGCAGTGAACCCTGCAAATCATGAGACACCGGATGGTGTGAAAGTGAGCCAGTCCCGGTAAGATTGACATATTATGAACTACCCCAAAAGCAGGCCGTGGGAAATTCTTAGGGGTGCGTCCAATTGCCAAAAGAGCGTGGGACTGAATGTCCTGTCTGGAACCATTTTGGTATGGCCAAAGACCCAAAATGTGCCAAAGAAGTGCAACTTTGGCACTGCACATGGAGGACCAACAATGCTGAAGTGCTGGCGACCTGGTCGTCAAAGAAGCCAGTCTCAACTATTGAACACATTCCCACCTGGGTGCATTTGGGTGTACTTTAAAAAGGGTAATCCCACGACAGCCCAGATCCTCGGTATTCTGTGAGGTTCCTGGTCTAGCCACAACCGCAGCCCGCCCATCAGCATCCATGTCATTTCTAACCCATTGGCGTTGTTGTTTATCAACAGTAGGAACATGTAGCAACTATGCTCTCAAATGTTCGAGTGTAGCTTCGTCAGCTATGAAATGCTAGGCTTCAGCCATCACTTCATTTTTGTGAGCTAAGTACTAATGGAGAGCTGGACTGCGCCCTCTAGCCTAAACGCGGCTGTGCTAGCATACAACTCCAACCATTTGCATTTCTTGATATGTCCCATATTCTCTGTGCACATCTGGTTGCAACAGTGGAGCATAAACATATATCAATCTGCAATGTCATCTCTGATTATCACCCGCAAGCTTTCTTCTTGAGTTGCTACCAGTATAATGATCTTGACTACTTTGAACATTGACCCCTTCGGTGCCCCAACAGGTCTGGCGGCTAGCGGCTAGAGCTGGTGATCCCGGAACCAAGGCCACGGATTCAGAAGCGCATTTCTGAGCCACTGAGTTTCCAAATGACTCCCCATCGACGACGAGTCAAACATCTCATTGACGAGTCAAACTGATTGGTGCAACGCATGTCAAACCCCTCAGTACAGATTCCTTAGGATCAATTCAAATTGCTCTTTTACAAATAGTTCTTCCTCTTCCCATGAACAACTTTCTATTACCAGCTGTGTAGCCCGTAGCCCGCCCGGGTCCCCTTTGGGATATCGGTCAGCAACCGAAGCTAATCCAGTCCGTGATCACCGCGGTGAAGCTGGTCGAGGACCAAGTGGCTCCTCCTCTTGCAGATCATCCGCCTGTTGGGATGGATTGCGTATTCTAAGGCTTAGGACCACATCAGAGAACCACGTGGCTGGGGGTCAGACCTCGCCTCCTAACACCAGAACATACCTTATATTCACAACCTCTTTTCAGAACGAGCGACTTGGTGATGTGTTGGAAGCGCTTGCAAACTGCCCCCCGAAAAGGATGCCTGGGAACCACTACCACACAGGTCGGGGTGTCTAGACCCGCCTGACCATATACTTGCCATCCAATAACAACCCTTTGGGTGGTGCTGGAAACAGTTTCGGCTTCATGCGTCAGATTGACCACTTTCATGAGGGCTCGCTTACCACTTTGACTGACTCGTGACTGGCTTTATTGACTGCAAAATGGGGTGCACTATATATATAGCAACGTTGGAGGACACCTTATCAGGCTAGGTAGTACAACGATGCAAACTCACCAACCATGAACATATTCACGAAACAACACGGCGCTTGAACTTCAACCCTCTTTGTCGCTCAAAGTAACGCAGGTGTCGCCGGTCACTCAAGGCATTGTGGCCCGTTAAGGGAAGTACTGCATTGGTCGATTGGGAAGTTAGTGAAGCAATTATTATAACATACTATAACAACCGAACCTGCAATTTTCGAGCATGGAACAAAATAAACATGAAACAACTACAAAGGCATGGAACCACGCACCCTATAGTTATTCCTGAGATTGGCGAATAAATGGTATGCCCAAGACCACAGAGTGAGTTCCTTTCATTCATACAAAGAACAAACATGAGGTGGGAGACCTGATTTAATACAGTCTCTTTTGCTCCAGGGCGAGGAAAGCAGAAAGAAGGTCCCTTGAGCGAAAGCTTCAATCTGCAAATCAAAAGAACAACTGAAGGCACAACATAAACTCCGCACAATTCATGCCCCATTCAATTCAAGGGAAAACCCTGGGAAAACCAAACACCCAAATCCATTGGTTCGGGGGTCTCACCATTGAACAAACACACAATATAATGTGGGAAAGGGATGGGCATTGCTCCGAGGTCGTGCGTCAGAATGTCCCAAGACCAGGCGCCTTGTCCTCGCCATCCAACCTACAGGAGTCCGAGGAGAAAAGAGAAATCAAAGCATTGTGAAGGAAGACATCTTTGGAGGCATCCAGTCGTTTTGTCCTTAGTTCATGCTCAGCAGCCTCCTACCACTTCCGTCCAAATGTTCAGCTTGCTACAAAAACGGGATTTTGCCGCAGCGAAACATGGCCAGATTATTGCTGCGTTTCTACTCAATGACTCAATTCGTTGCAACATCTCTTGTCTATTGATCCAAATGTTTTCGTGGCACATCTCCCTGGATATGGGCATCAAAAGCAGTAATATAAATATTCCTGGAGTCTCAAAGTACCTCGGAAACTAGGTGCAAGTACCTCTTCTTATAGGTCCCATTTTCTAGGGTACTTTGGAGTGTCTATAGGTACAAGTAACAAGTGAACCTGTTTGGAAACCCAGTTTTTGTCACAGTTATTCAGAACTGATCGTTACACGGCATGGCCGACGCCGCGTTGGACCCCTCTTGATCATGCGACATTTTGTCCGGTATGAAGTTTTAGGATGTTTTTGGTACGTCTTTCATGGAAATGTTTCCCTCGGTAGGTTCATGGCTAGGTGTTTCATGAATTGAGTTTTTCAGGGACATGTGCTGAAATTGTTCTGGACCGGATGTGCTTCTTTGGTGCCTTGGTACGCCTTGATATGCATGGATGGATCACGCTTCGGTTCTGCTTGCGTGTCAGAGGCGACGAATCTGCCCCTGAGGTGTTCGTTTGGTAAAGGAACAGATCGTCACATCTCTGGCATCCTTTTCGAAGGACCCAACATGCACCGGATCTTTCAAACCCTTGGTTCCATGCATGGACAACTGACCTGGTCCCTGCCAAGTGACATGCCCAACAACTCCAAACATGCACAATGCAGGCCACAACTCAACTTTTTTAACACCCACACAAACAGGGTCACATGGAACTTGACACATCGGATTTTGAATTTGTGAGAAGGTAGTGAAAAACAGTCCTCCTATGTGCTCCTTTGTTTCCACAACACCATGGAGTATGTTTGAACCCCGCAAGAAAAGTCCTCAACCGCAGTCCCATGTCCCCTCAAAACGCTCCCCGGTTGCCTCTCTTGCTCGGTGACATGTTGGCGATAGCGCCCTGGTTTGGTGGTGCTGGGCAGAAGAAGAGGAAACATGACGAAACAAATGACGGTAGGGGCGGGAGGTTCTCGGAAGGGTTCAATTGGTTACGTTTGTGTATGTTCGTAGGGCCACAGGTGAGAAGGTCGCACACAAATGTTTGAATGGTGTTTGAGGCATCAACTTGCGCGAACAAATTTCAAACATTTTCGCGCATGTCGAGTCTTTGCAAAGGCGAACCGCTGATAATGCTATGAACCGATGATGATAACGCTATGAAGCTGATGATAGGCGCTGCGCAATTTCCATCCCCCCACCCTCCCACACCCATTTAATCACATTGTCATCCGATGACAATGTTGCGAATCCGATGACAATGTTATGAAACCCATGATCACGTGGTGATACCGATAATCATTGATGATCATTTTGTGGAAGATGATAGCTTCCCGGAGACCCCCCGCGTCCCTTAGGACACATGAAACGTGCTGAGCCAAACAACAGCAGGATCAGAAAGGCCTAGCTGAGCAGAATATAAGAAACAATGTTTCCGTATGTTTCCGTTTTTGTTTTTGTCATCCTTGCCATCAGTCAGAATGCTGAAGTTCGTGTGGTTTTACGGAGGTTGATTTGAGGGCGCCCATCATCAACACCAGGTACTTTGCATCCTCGAACTGTGTCACTGTGCTATGCGTTGAACTGGCTGGGGGGGGATGAGCGGACCGGGGGCAAGCAGCGACCACAGCACCAAAGGAACAGGAGCAAACCAGTGGCGAGACGACAATCCACACACAGTGCCACCCCAAACGGGTAGACAGCGGGCAAACCACACGGCAAATACCCATGGCAGCACCCACCCAGCAGCAAAGGTGCCCCGGACCAGACCAGAACCCACATCACTGAGGATAAGGGCGTGGATGAGACCAGGGCTCCGTGCCCAGATGAGTCCGGTGTGCACAGAAAACAGGCAGGCGCAGCAATTGGCAGGAGCCACCACCAAAGCAGCACGAACACTCGGGCCCTTTTGCCATTGTTGGGGAATCCTGGGTGAGTCACCCACGGGGTCACGGGCCGCCTTGACACCGATCGCTGCCTAAGACGAGCCTGCACCCCACCAACAACGTAAGGACCCGCCCGGTCTCTGACAGCCAGAAGAAGGAGCAGCCAGGTCTCTTCCACACACTTGACCAGGGCCGCCGTACATCTGGAGCGTAAGAGCAAGTCCCACGTTCCTGGAACCCCGGCCAGTTGTAGGCCTCCAGTTGGGACCAAAGGGCGGCTTGCAAAAAAATACTTCACTTCGAGTGATCCCTACGATCTGACAAATTTTCGGGCATGTATTGAAACATGTTTTCGGCTTTCTTTCTGGCACATTCTGCTGCTTGTCAGATGTGACTGACATTCTTGCAAGACAGCGGTGTGCCGCATGTAAGGTGTCTGTCCCGGCAAAGACAAAGGAAGAAGAGGCGCACTGGACGAACAACAGAAACATTTTCTTCTGACATGTATTGTGACATTCTATCTGGTAAATAGTATACTAAAACTAAAACTCTACTTGCCATATTGTCTGACATGTTTGTGAATGCGTGTGCTAGTGGTTTTGTGTTTGTGTTTGTGGTTATGTGCTTGTGGTTGTGTGCTGTGGTTGTGTGTTGTGGTTGTGTGCTGTGGATGTGTCTTTGTGGCTGTGTGTTTGTGAACGTGTCTTTGTAGCTGTGCTTGCGGTTATGTGTTGTGTTTGTGTGCCCTGGTTGTGCGTTGTGGCTGTGTGTTGTGGATGTGTTGTAGTGGATCAAACAAACATGTACACCCCGGCCACCCCGGTCAACAATCTCATAGAAAACCATTGCAAACAAAAGCACGCTCCGCCAGCGGAGCGCGCTTGGGAACATGTCATGTCTGTATGTAACTTCTCTGACGGGTCTCGTGACCCATGACCTTCACTATCTTCACCTTTGCGGCTCTATCCCCTCAATTGCTGACAGAAGCGAGCTGACCGAAACGACCCCACAGCATAAAAGCAACGCGTCCACATGTTCCAACCTGCGCGCTCCGCTGCCGGAGCGCACATCTGTGTAAGGCAGTGTTGTTGTGGCAAAAAAAACACAATGAACAAAAGAAAGGTTGAACTAAAGAAATTGCTTCGGTTACAAACATGCGCTACCTCAACACATGCGGTGAGCCAGCACGCTCCGGCCGCGGAGCGCGAATGAATCCACTGGTCACAGGTCACTCAAATGTTCTTCAGCCAAATATTCCATGATATTCCATGTCCTTTTCTGTCTTTGTAGTTGTGACTGTGGGTGTGTGTTGTTGTTGTTGTTGCTGCTGCTGCTGCTGCTGCTGTTGCTGTTGCTGTTGCTGTTGCGGCTGGTTGTTGTGGTTGTGGTTGTGGTTGTGGCTGTGGTTGTGGTTGTTGTTGTTGTTGTCGTTGTGTGGTTTTGTGCTGTGGTTGTGTGTTGCGGATATGTCCTTGTGTCTTTGTGGAACAGAATCAGCTGATGGTCCGAGGCCCAAGCGCAAGTCCGCAGCTGCAGCCTCTTCTCTCGCCTGGAGTTGTATGGTTTGCTCCCCGAAGGAGTTGATGTACAGCAAAGTGGTCAACGGTCAAAGGCAGCCTGATTCAAAATCACACGGTTCAAGTTATTTCAAGTTACTATTTAGATTTGAAGGCTTGGACATAGAAGCCGGATTGATGGGCTTCTATGAAGAGGGTACACAAAAAGAAAGGGAGAAGTTGCAAGCTGGGGGGGGCGAAATATACCTTACAGAATGAAGACCCATCTCTGGAAAAATGAATTTCCTCTGCTACCCTGAGTTTAAGAAGTCAAACACTTTCACTGAACATCAGTCGTCGGCAAAGGGAGGATGGCCGGCGCATCACTGAAAAGCCATCAATGCGTGGGTGAAACATCTGTGGACTGAAAGCATGTTGCGACTGGTTGCGACGAGACCTGTTATCCAGTACTGTTGGAAGAAGTCCGCCGCCAACTGGAGCCCGAAATACTGTAAACACTGTGGTTGCCCCTGTCTCACCTCTGGGTAAATGAATTTCACGATAACCATATGAAGTTCCACATGAAAAGGACGTGTTCCGGAAATGATGGAAACACCTCACTGTGAGAGTCTCCGTCTCCGCCACTCCAGTGGCCTCCGCCTGTTCCAAAGCCTGCGCCTGTGCACTCAGTGGACGAGGTGGGCCGCTTTTAGGAAGTCTCCAAGTACATCAGCAAAGGACAGACCGACAAATATCCCACTTGTATCCCATAGATAGCAAGGAAACAGGTTCTGACAGACCGACACTGCCACCATATCTCATCTACTTAGGCGGTGGTGCACAGTAATCGAGACCTTCCCCACTAGCAGTACAATGAACAAGGTCTATCAAAGTAGGGTTATTTTCCGAACCTACTATATGTACATTAGACTAGTCACTTTAGATGTGTAAGATAGTGTATAATTGAACACTACTATGTACACAAACTATGTTCACTAGACCTCATGTTCATTACTATGTACACTACTTGTATATACTTGTATAACTGACTGCTGAGGTTGGATCCCAGAAATCTAGCTCCCATGACAGTCTCGGGTGTTCGGTCGAACGGCGGTCGAACGGCGTCAAGGGATCTGGTTTGTGGGGACATGGGGCCTGGAATTGTCTCATATCACCACGTATCACCTTCTTCAATGAAGATGGAACGCAAATGAAGATGGAACATGTAGGCGCAACGGTACAGCCCGGCAGCCAAGGGATATTGACAAACTTCAACTGCTGTATATAATCAACTTTAGCCAGCCTGGGAGTTTCAAAGACTTACGGCAGTGACCGTGGAACCCATTAGTTATTTAGGTTTGGTTCCTCTACCACTACCCATCCAAAGGAAACTTCAGCGAAAGCACGTCTCGCAGAAACGTTCAGTTCCTACACAGCTTTTGCTCTCAAGCTTTCCAAATTGCCATACAGACTGGACAAACTCTTCTAGGATGGGTCAACAATAAGACTTGCACATTAAGAGACTATCCTCAAATCTACCAGGGATAGGGTCGGTGATGCTTTCAATGCAAAGCAGCACAATGCTGTGCTGCTGTACCTTGGTGCTTCGGGTCCTATCCTGTTGTTATTCCATGTTATTCCTGGACTTTCTTGGCTTCAGAACGCTCGTTCCCTGAACCCTGATGCAGGGTCCCACTGCCTCCTGAACGGCTTTCTGTCGCGCGGTGGCCAGTTCTTCCTGGCGTACCACGGCAGCTGAGCCGACATGGGTGACGCATAGTATGGCCACGCATGACCTATACAGACCCATACAAAGCTACCTAGAGAGGTTGAGACTTTATGGGACTCTCTTTTCGGAGGTATATCTGGGATAGGACTGATGATAGATGATGACAGTTCTTACTTACCATACCGCGATTTCACCGGACGGATATTTCCCCGGACGGACGACTCGATTCGCACTCGGCTTCCAGGCCCCTAACTCAGCCACGCGCATAGGGAGGCCCACAGCGCCCTGCAGAAGCAGTTCAGAACGAGACTGCTCGTAGGCCATCCAAATGCACAAAGAAGTAGATTCTTGGAGGCTGTCTAGGGGCAGGTAGTCTAGAGGCATCAGCAAATTTGGTGTATTTATAGGATGGATCAGGGAAGAGTTGCTGGGTGGCTGGTCTGTGAACACACATATATATATTTAATCCAAGGAACGTAAGCTAGAGACTTGGAAAACACCAGTCCAGGCTTCTCTGATCCCTCAGCCAGATTCTATGATTATTATATCTGGTTCAACGCCACACGCTCAATGGGCTACATGATGTCTGTACACAAGCAACCCCTCTGCTTTCATGCTGGGAAACGTTCACAGGCCCTGTATCTAATCTGGAAGTTTAGGGTGCAAGCTGCAGTCAGGGAGCACATCCGCCTGAAACTACAGAAAGGGCTCAACTCCCAACTCCACACCAAACAATCTCCCTGTATTGCTGATATATGCTCCTAGTCACAAGAAGCTACTAGGTGGAGGCCATCATTATTAGGTTGGAGGCCATTGCTACTACTCGTCTTCCTGTATGGCCTATTCTCCTCATACCAGCGATACAGAGTCGCCCTTTGCCACGCCTCCGAGCTCGGCAGGAGCTGGGCCACTTGGATGTGCCGCCGCCGCGTCTCCCGCACCGGTGGCGCTCCGCCTGCTCCGCATCTCCACGGGTTTGGGCGACCGGTGGTGGGCGAAGGAGTGCAGCAGGGTGGTGGATGAGAACATCCTGTATGGTTGACGACAAACATTAGTGCGGGACTGTATCGTAACGGTCGTAACGGCTCAAGAATCTCAAAGAACGTATAAAGGTTCCAACTGCAAGCTACCCGACAGAGAATAGGAAACAACAAAGTCGAAAAGAAGGGGACATGAGAATACACACACTCATACACGCATATCGTTCGCTGTTCCTGGCAGACTTCCACCCTCCTCAATTTCAGCTAATCTGTTCTTTCTTCCCAGCCATACCCTGTAGCCAAGGAATGCCAAAGGAGGAACAGAACAATTACAATTCTCAGTTCAACAATGAATTATAGATACGATTAGATACGGACGGAATGATGCGGAGATCATTTCCCATAGGTTAGATTTCATGTTCTATTATGAAGATAGAATTCGCTGAAGAGAAGATATCTCTCGTGTACGATATCTGTACTGTACAGTACTGAAGAACTGCATCGTTTGTACACTTCTATCTGTGAATATCGGTGTTATTTCGAGACTTTGTCTGAGGTATCGCAGTTGAAATGAGTCGATGTTTTCATCATGGCTTGTGAGAGATGGACAGTTTATATACGTTAGGTAGTTGATTGATCTGGATTTGCATTTGTCGATTTCCAACATGGTGGTAACATGTAGTAAGTCGTGTTTCTTACTTGATTGTCTACAACCTCACACGATCGTCACAAAGTGAGTCGCTAAACGCGCCTCGCATCATGATGCCTCGCGACTCCCGGGTGCGAGCCGTCTTCCTTGGCGAAGGATCGAGGCAAACTAAATCCATCATAACACAAATATATGGTTTATATTGGTTTGTGAACGCTCTTATATTGGTTGCTTCGCAACCTCCTCATGCACTGCGCTGCTGTTGTCATGCACCCACTCATCACTCAGGTCTTACCCCAGAAAATCTCACAAAGGGCATACTTACAAATACAATCACTTCAATTTTCCGCAACATTGGTCCTATAGGAACAGGTTCAGTGCTATACTATATAAGTGTGTCACCGTCAGAAAGCAGCGCACAGCGCTGCCCTCTCTTCTTTGTTTCACTGGGCCATACTGGGCCCATGGTGTTGGTAAGGTCTTTGCAGCTCCAGTGAATAGACCAGCTGGCTTCATTCAATAGCTCTGTGATGCTCTGTGTGTGTGACCTTTCTATGGTGCTTTCGGTGCTTCTTGGCCAAATATCCACACCGTGTCAAAACAGCAAAAGCTGCCTTCGGCGCCCCATCCGCGCGCAACCGGTGTTCGCGTCAGCACCGCTCGCTCAAGCGTCTCGAACGGGTTCGGTCCAGGACACTTCATCTCGAGCACTCTTGCTTTCAATGACTCCACTGATTGATCCAGTTCCTGCCGTAGGAATCACTGAGAACGGATGGGGCGACTACTAGTAGGTCAAAACAGGTCCGGGTTCTCTGGAGATGTTTCAACATATTTCTATGTTACTAATTACACATAGTTCCTGATCTTCTTCCAAACCAACAAAACACCGAAAACACCTTGCGTCTCAGATGCAAAACAGTCAGAAAGTGCCTCGCGGCGAGCTTCCTGTATGCGTTGTAGGAATTGCCTAGGCGTCGCAGCAGCGCAAAAGTAGCTGCCGGAAAAGGGTCACGTTGCGGCGAACCCAACGTTTTCATCCGGCTTTTGTGGCTGGCAATCGAAAACACACGCATGACATTAAATCCACAAATCTGCACTTCAACCAATTGTCTAAACTTGCAAACCCACATGTGCATTCATGTGCTGTTCACGTGAACGTTGAGCCAACGCCACATGAGTGGAGATCTTCTTGTCCACCCCGCTCAATGAGCCCAGTGCGAAGGGTGCCAGAACCACATGGGGCCTAAGAAGAAACAAAAGAGGACGTGAAACCAACACATGTCAACAAATCCCTGACCATACAGGAAGACCTGCCTTCGGAATGGTGGGGGGTGTTCTTGAAAGAGTGTGAGTTATGATGTCTGCAAGGTCTAGGCTTTGTCGACAAGGTTTTCAACTCATCTGTTGTCCCTGATTTTGCGCACTAAAGTGTCTTGCCGCGGCAGGACGAAGCACTTTTGGCCACGAATCGGGGGGTCATCGCATCCCTTCATCTGGGAGGTCGCTAGGCAGGTGCATATCGGTCTATCTATACCAGTGCATTGTTGCAACTCTTGATCTGGCGTGGATCATGTTTCAATAAGCTCACATTTCAGTGCCTGCGCAGCATTGCTTGGACGCGGCTCAAGCACGGCTGAAAAGGTGCTCTTGCTGGTCACCCCGCCGAATTGCTTGAAACTACGCGCCGAACCGCTCTCGTCGAAGCGCAGCGCGCGCTGGACGCGATTTGGACAGCCAGCAAGGGTCCAACATCTTGGAGATGTCTGAACCGCCATAGGAGCAATTGGCAAGGGATCTAAGGGGTTCCAGAATGGTATCCACATAGAAATTCATTGTCAATTTTACCCCATATTAGCCTTGGAATGAGTCTACAGTACAAGAGTGGAAAGGCTGAGTCAATTCATCGTTTTGTTATGGTTTGTCATGTTTTGTCCAACAAGGGTCACCGCCCACTGCAGCCATAACCTTGCGCAACCAAAGCTGTTGCTTCTACCCAACATGACCTATGTGACGCAGCACCTATGTGACACCTACGTACATCCACACATGCTCCCCTTCCATCTTTCGATTGACCAAACAAAGCGACAGCCACAGCCAGCTCCCATGTCTTGCTTTTAGATGCCAAACAAAACACCAATCACAAACACAACACACCAGTTGAAACCATAAAACCACTTCATTCCGCTAAGGCAGGAAGGAACACGATGGGAAAAAAACATGTAAATAGATGTAATATTGTGTAATAAGAGCATAAGTTCTCCTGTTCAGCATGTTTAGATCCCTTGCCTGCAGGTGCGTGCGCGAGCTGTTAAGCTCTCCTAACGCGCTGGCAGGTTGATTCCTCAAAGCTCATGGTGCTGCAGAAGGAAGTCACAAGCATCCTCAATGGAAGTCTGCAGAGTGCCCCTGTTGGGGCGCTGTGGACTGGGACTGGGACTTGCTTTGTTTTCGACGAGGTGCGCTTCTTTAAATCACTTGGCTGCAGATTTGTATACGGCCAAAACTTTTCTGCAAAAAGGTCCGGTCACTGAGCAATGGGTTTACACAGGTCTAAGTCGGGTTCTGTATCTCTCCTGGACCAGCCCGAAGACATCCACCCCTTCCTACTGGACCCAGCAATGAGGACAATCCAAATTTATTGGACCAAAACCAACCATTTCAGAGTGACTTCATGTCCAGCTTTGAAGACCTGCTAGAAAGCCCTTATGAAAAGCTGCAGGAGGAGGTTAGTAGCCCAACTCCTGCTACTAGAAAGCCATTCCTGCCACTTCCAGCTGGATCCAGACTCTCCGACCTCGTCGTCACTTCTTCGGTTCGGGAGCTCCTTCCCACTCGTCGGCCGAGTCTCAGGTGCGCCGAAGCCTCGCCTCTTGGCTTGCACGTCCTCGCCACGGACTCATGGGGCAAAGCCGGAGAGTACACGGGCGAAGCATGAGCTTCTCCACGTAAGTAACCAGGTGATGGACATCAGGTCTAGTTAAGAACAACTAGATCAGTGAGAGTAGAGCTTCTGCTTGACTACTAAGGTCCAGTTTCTAGTGAAGTTTCAATCCCCGAAACAAATCAGATTGAAGGTCGTATACTGAAGGTTGAGAACGAACGCACATGGCTACCGATAACCAGAAATGACAGTTGAAAACACCATTTCGGATTTGTGGCAGAGTCTATACCTAATCCTACACATCTTGGCTTGTGCATCCCGCAGATTTGTTCCGGAGCATCGTGGTTGCGGCGTTCCCAAAAGATGGAATATGACGTCACAGAAATTGTTGACAAAATCTGAGTTATTTAAATGTCCTGCAAAAGTTGTCCATTCCAATTTCCAGCTAACATATCCAGCTAAATGGGACTGACAAGAATGGCAAGACCAGCTTCTTCTCATTCATTACATGAGAAGAAAATAGACCGGCTGCTGCAAGACCGGCTTCCCCACGACATGTCAACGGATGACAAGCGATACGCAAAAGGTGGCTGCTCGATGCTGCTCACTGTTTGTTTGACCAGGAGGACCTTAACATCAACCGATTTTGTGCTCTTAGTGTGCTGATGGGCCATTGATGATAGGTTGTTGACCCATTCCATCCCATTCCTATCTCTTCAACAACTTCCTTAACAAAAATAAACAACTTCATTCTCGCATGGACTGCAGCATTCCTGGAGCTTCTCCACAAACTTCTCTTCGAAGGTGGATGAGGGTGTCCTCAGTGCATGTATCTCAGATCCCCACTCAGTTCAAAGACAATGAGAGTCCAGTCACCACTAGACTAGCCAAGCAATGCAACTCGCCCATATACCCCTTGGAAGCCAATTCTGACCCTAAAACCTCACATCACCGCATCACCTGATAATCCTCAACAAAAAGAAGACCTCTGAAAGTAGTCCAACAAAATAAAACGGTCAAGAAGAAACGTGTGTGTTTTTCCCGTGTGCCATGGCGGCCATGGCACTCCTTTCTAAAAAAACTACTCGGTGAAGCCCTCGATCCGTGCCGCACTGGGTGAAGCCCTCCGGTGCCGCAGGTCGCCAGTTGGCGGGTGAAGATCGTTTGACGTTACCAACGCCTCACGCCGGTGAGGCAAAATAGTCTACTGACTGGTGCTTAGTAGGGAATGAGGGAATGGACCCTAAGCAATCTCTGTTGGGTGGTCATTCCCTCATTCCCTACTAAGCATCAGTCAGTCTATAATATAGATGTCTATATCTAGTCCGGTGACACGGCTTGACACGTCTAGATGTCGACTGTCTAGTCTGTTAGGAGCCGTGGCTGGAGCCGTGTCACTGCAGTGACGAGTCTTTGCCGTGCGATCCGTTCGATGCCGTGCGATACCGTGACTGGTGCGCTCGGAAGGACCCCGGCCCAAGTGGAGAAGAGTTCGCCACCAGAAGGAACCCGTCACGACCGGATGTGAGTTCTGAGCGATTTGCAAGCAAGCGTCTTCACCAGCTCCAAAGTCTTTTCTTTCAAAGCTGCCGCCAGCTTCTGCCGACCCTCATGGCCTGCCTGGCGCGGAGGAAGTGTGGGTGTGGACACTGGCGGGTGTGGCTACCATATTCGATGCGAACGAATTTTGAGGAAGCGAGGGTCTAGATGAGGACTCATTTATTTGTTTATTTGCTTTAGTCAGATCATTCAGTTGTTGATTAGTAGCTGGGGCGGAATCAATGCACATGCATGGAGGCGTCAAACATAAGGCAAATGCTTTGGATGGACATGTCCGACAACCAATGGCAAAGGAGGGCAGGTGACATGTCATCAAATGATTCAAACTCGTCCTTTTGATTTTGACCATCCTCAAATAGGCTCATCTAGCCTGAGCCGGGTGTCCTCCAAATAACAAGTGGGTGTCCAAATTTCTACCCGTCCGGTACACTCCAAAGTGCAAGCTGGCAGCTTTTTCCACGGACTCGCAGCATTTGCTGCAATTTGCAAACAATCAGCCCTTGCACGCATCACATGGCATCCCATTCAAAACCATAATGATACCAAATAGCACCAAGTTCAATTACCAGGCTCCATGCGCACATTGCAACCAATCCAGCATGTCAAAATGTTGAATCTTCGCTTATGCTATTTTTCACTTTGATCTTCTATGTGACGCGATATTGTCCCACTAGCCACTACCACATCACCTCAACAAGCCGCGGTTCGATCAATCACGAAGCTTCAAGGCAACCTTCAACGGACGCGACGGTTTTACTCGAACAACTCTCACCTCGTCCTAAAGCCCCTCCAGAAGCTTAAAGCTCCAAGAAGCACACACCACAAACTCAAACAGGTTGTGGCTGCCAGTAGCTGCCAGCTAGCTGGCAGTCAAATAGCCTACCAAAGTTAAGCGCACCCAGCTCCAAACCCCGGCCCTTCTGCTTTGGTCTTTGTTGGAAGCTGAGGTGTCCTTACTGAACCAACACAAGTTAACAGTAAAGCCGTGGCAAGTCCTTTATGCCAAACAAGTTTTGCAACACTTAAGTACTCCAAGTGCAAAGCGGTTGGGTTCGAGGTTTTCCTTGGCAAAAAGATTTGGCTGGCTAAATTTTGACAGGCTTTCCTGGCCAAATGGATTTGGCTGGTCAAATTGTGATGGGTTTTCCCGGCCAAATGGATTTGGCTGGTCAAATTGCGACGGTTTTTTAAAACCATCACATTTTTGGTGGCCAAATCCATTTGGCTGAGTGGTTTTGGCCAGAAAACCCACCACGATCTGGAAGCTTGACTGGCCCCAGAAAAGCGATGGGGTTTTCAAAAAACCCATCACAATTCCAAAGGTTTTGGAAAAACCATCACAATTTTGAAGTTCGGAGTGAGCTGGAAAGTCTGACGGGTTTCCATTTTCCTTACTTAATTGCGACGGTTTTTCAGAAAACCCATCACATTTTAGGGTTGGGGCCCGCGTCTGAAACGTGACGGGTTTTCATGGCCAAATCAATTTGGCTGGTAAAAATGTGACGGGTTTTCCGTCTCCAACCCGTTCATTCCTGCAAGGCCCCTTTGATCGAGTTTGGCCGGCGCTTATACGCTGATTGCTCAGTATGAAACTTTCTCGGTTTGACATTTACCTTGTATTGGTGCTCAGGAGCGGAGGTTCAACGATCTTGGATTGGAAGATTATGCTTGGAGCAGTCGGATGCAAACACCTGAAGCTTGTAGGTGCAATGTGCACCCGAAGCTTCCAGCTGGCTCAGGCAACCCTCGGGGCCGCACAGACCTACATCAACACATGACTCCGCAGAGGGCCGAGAAAGATCTGGCAAGTAGTGTGAAGTACGAGTTGGACCTATTGAAGTTGCAACCTCCCGGTCAATGTCAAGCCTTTCTTTTTGCAGCTCCGACAGGTCCACGTTCTCCATCCAAGTGCTTTAAACATCTTGAAGCGAAAGCTCTATCAAAGTGTGGCGCAAAACTTTTGAAATAGTGGTGCTTGGCTGTGGCGCCAGAAACGGTGGATGATGTTCGTGGTTGTGAGGAAGGAGATGGTCTCTGCGGACTCTTCACACGTAACGTCTCCATCATCATCACATCTCCACGCTGGCATGGCTGCCCACTACGAAGAATCTAAATTCTTGAAGTTCCATGACTGTATATATAGGTCAGTCTTGCGTGTATCAAGCGCATGTGGATGTTGCCTCATTCTTAGAGCTCTTTGCTTCCAAGCAGGACCAAATAAACTACATGGCTGTGTTACGTGCTTTTAACGGAGCCAGCAAGAAATTTGACAACAAGGTTCTATTCCAAATCAAACACCCACTTGCTATTTGGAAGACACCCGGTTCAAGCTAGATGAGCCTAAATGCATTTCACCGACTCTGCCTCTGCGTTGTCGTACAGCCCATGCTCACCTTCCACTGCCTCTGCGTGCTTGACGCAGTCCTGGCTGCGCTCCAAACTCGCCGAAACACGGAAGGTGAGATTGACAACCCCACTTCTAGGACAGTTCGCTTCATATGTGACGTGTTTTCAGTGGGTGGTCAACTCACGGAATGATCTACCCACTGGGTGGTTGGAGACATGGTCAGTTCTAACATGGGCTGCTTCTGGGTCTAACATGCGATGTTTGGCCCCGGAAGATTGAAAATCGCTATATACAGTATATATATACTGTATATATAGAGTCTATCCTATTACCAGTAACAGTAGATTTTTCGCTTTGGTAAGTAAAGGCCTTGTTCAGAAATAGTGATAATTGTTTACTGACTGTTACAGGGAACTAGAGCAGACCCATGTGTATATAGAGTTTTGGAAAGCCCAAGCAAACTTCACACAGGTTTGAGGCGTCTTCCGGGTGGGGTGATTGTTCCTAGGAATGCTAGTCTGACTGGTTGCTAGTAGAGGGAGACTACGAGCTATGTCAGCGATATATGATGCATGATGCCATGACTAAATTCTAACATGCGATGTATTTATAGGACAAGCCGTAAGCTCCACAAATGTGGAATCGGCCGTGTTGAGCCATCTTAAGAAGAGTCTATTGACTCGGGAGCCGAACCTCCTGCTAAAACCGCCGCCGGGCCTCTGCAGAACACGTCCGGAAGGATGCATCATCTACAAGTACCATCAATTACCCAGGTCAAAACAGAGATGCTACCGCTCTCTGTCAGCCACCTGCTCTCCGTATCTCTCCATTCTCTCCCAGTCCTGCCAAAGAGGGTGATCGTCGAATCTCTTGTGTGTCTCCTGGCACCGAAGACTCGAAGATTCGGACGTATATCTGATTCGAACGTCATAATCTGATACAAATCACCAACTAACTTGGTCTAATAGATCTAATAACTTGTCAAGTACTAAGTATAACCAAAAAGGAACCGATTGATCTAATAAATTGAGATGTTCACCAACTTCATCAAACAGTCACCTAATCTCAGGCTGAGGCCACGGTACTTTCTATTTGTTGGGAACAAGGCCTTGGACTACAGCTACACAGCAGATGTCTTTGCTTGTTCTTTTTTCATCAGGTTTGAACATGGGAGTGAAACTGAGACTCAGTGAGTTCTTGCTGCGCTGGGGAAATTATGACTGGACTTCATGGTTTACTGTGTTATTTTGTTTTGCGGACACGTTATCGGCACTTGGGGTCACGACTCATTCGCTAACTTCATTCAACAAGTTGCTGCCAAAAATCCCCGCATGAACACCGACGCTTGATCTTAGCCATCCTGATCGCATCAAACACTTCAAAAGCAAACCCACCGGCTTTTGGCGGGTGTTCACAGTCCTCCGGCTCAAATGTGCCGTCGTTCTCCGGCCCCTCAGTTGGTAGGCCAGAGAAGGCAACTGCCCAAAAAGCTTCAATTGACGAAATGCGAATGCGGAGTGTTTTCTTTTTTGCGACTCCTGTAGTGTTTCTATTCTTTGGGGGATGGTGGGAGGATTGTACTCTTTGGGCCATGCTGGGGATTGCACCTACTGAATCAATTAAAGATTCTCAAAACGATCTGACCCTTGATGGTCGGCTTACTTTCAGCCATGGTCCTTATAGACTTTCGTCGAAGGGGATCCCCCAATGCCAAATGGAACTACCAACTGGAAAGAACCAGTTCTCCAAAGACCGAACTTAAGGCCAATTGAACTTGGCCTCCAAACAAATCACAAAGGTCATCAGATGAAACATGTCAAGGACCTTCCTCCCGGTCACGTCACGGTGACACGAAGGTCCTTGTGAAGACTTGAAGGTCTCCAAAGACCGTGTCAAGTGGCATCCTCCAGTTCTTCGAACTCCACGTCATCGACGTCATCAACGTCATCATCCTCTTGGCTCCAAGCCTCGAGTGGAAGACTCGACATCGCACGTGCGGACCAGTGGTGTCGGAACAGTGCCGGGTTCCAAAGCTCAAAATGGAATCTGGTGGGTTTGGGACTGAACAAGCGATGTTATTATCTTACATTATCTTAAGCATTTAGTCAGCAAAGCATCCAGAAAGATATCCCTTGGAGTCATGTTCAATCTGTGATCAGTAAGGGGCAAATACACGTGTGTGTTCAATTGGTTGGTTGCAACTGGAGCAGTATGGACGCCCATAGCTCCAAAGTTATGTAAAAACCCACTTGTCAATCCTCATCCGGGGCTAGAGGACATGTGACTTGAATATAGTATCGAATCAAGGTCGCTTGCTTGCTTGGCTGCCTTGCCATACGTTGTGATCTTCACGCCATAGGGGGAAGAGGACTAAAAATATATAGCCTTTTCACTCTCATAGCACCTGTTGGATTCGTGAGAAGGTTAACGAAAAAGAAAAGACTTGGTGAACAATCAAAATCCAATATAGGATGCTTTCAAGTGTCTAGCCTTCGAATCCCAATCTGTTGTACACCCGACTTCACTCGGGGACGTCTCTCGCTTCGGCCCCGGCCTGCCATAGCAGCGACATCATCAAAATTGGCATCAGCCTAGGGCTGGCGCTCGCGCGAGCGGCGGAGCTTGATATACGCATGTGAACCCTGTCAAATCTCCGTTGGCAATCACAGAAGAAGACCGGATTGCCATCCAAGAGTTCCAAGTGGCTTTGCATCGACCCAAAAATCAGGGATGGAACAAGTCTTTTTCAGCCGATTTGTCATGGTGGCCTAAAGGGACAACATAGGTTATAATCCCTCCTGTGTGGATGAGGATGCTGGGTCCATTTAGGCCCACAGATTTGGGTAAGGGAAGGGTTTGGGTCTTCAAAAAGTCCATGAGAGAATGCTCAAAAAACCGCGAAGTGAATGGGACCTGATAGGTTAACAACACATTTTGGGTTCTTCGGGTAATAATCTACCATACTCAGATTGGCCCACAACTAAATGTAGATTCATACAAAGCGACCTCATAGGTCAACAACACATTTTAAGTTCTTCCTGCAATAATCTCCCATACTCAGATTGGCCCCCAACAAGATGTAGATTCGTACAAAGGGTTCATGTCCTACAGATGAAGAACTCCCTTTCTATCTAGCATGATTTAGCCTCATCTCGTGTTCATATCCATCCATACCCTCTTCCCTGAAGGATTGGACTGCGCCAGGACACCGCAGGAGCTGCATGGCCGGTCGAACGACGATCGACGATCGACGTCGAACGCGCCCGGCTTCAGCGGCCCATAAACTGTTGCGGCTTGAGGCAGGCGAGGTGTCTACATGTGAGGATCCCTGTGATTGGCACATCTGAGTTGGCCAGTTGGCGAAGAAGAGAACTGCTTAATTGAAGAGTTGATGTTGTCATGGAAAAACGAACCGTTCTGCTTTCCGAAATGAAGTTCCCTGGAAAAGTGTCTGGCCCACCCCCTCCCTGGTCTGGTTCAGGTTCCACCTCCCAGTATTAATTTGATTGGAGACCCCCTGCGCTTCCAGAAGACGTGCCCCAACAACCCGTCACATTAGTTGTCCAAACCTATAGCATCATAACGATTGCACCTTGCCACGTCTTCCACCTAGACCAGCGAGAACCTATCATGTTGTATGCCTCGTGTCTTGCAAACCAACAGCTTCAAGGCAACGCAAACAAATAGCGCTGGCCTCCAACCTACTAGCGGTGGCCTCCAACCTAAGAGCGATGGCCCCAACCACCAGCTGAAAGGCAATGCAACAAAGCACACATTTTGCAGCGAGTTGCCAAAGGAAGAAACTCACCAACGGCGACATGCAAAGAGCTTTGCTCTCGTCGCCAACTCTTTGAACTGATGTCCACCGGTTGAAGAGATTCACCTGCGTACTCCAACAATGACACACCCTGTCCAGGCTTCTTAACAAGTCTCATGACTGAAAAAAAAATCTGCTCCACGGACCAGGTCTTTTCATGTCTTGAAACCGCATCTGGTGAGTCCCCACTGCACGATCCGGCTCCATTGGGATTGGACTTGCGCAACGCACAGCGCGTGCGGTGCAGCGGCGCTCAGCCCGCAATCATTTTGGCACTTTGATCGATGACAAAGTCCGCAATGGCCTAGTTCATGAGTGTTGGTTGAAGTCCCTCCGTTGCATCTCATTCTGAATTCTGTAATCTTTGAAGTTTATATATGGTCTGAGTCAATTCCCCTGAATTGCCCCCCTCACAACAAAAAAACATGAAGCATATGATTTTGTCTGCCATGTTCACTTTCTGATCACATCTGATGAGCTCATGGACAGCATGACATTGATCCCATGTTCTACAAGCGTGCTGCATCATGAGAGATGCATGCGGATGCATCCACTGTGATCTCCGTTCCATGCCCCATCTGCCGGACTGTTCACGCCTGCACGGAGGGATAGTCAAAGCTCAAGGTCATGGGCAGCTTGATGCCGGGCCTCAAGCTGGTAGGGAGGTGTGGCCTTCATCAGGGAGGAGGGGTAGCAGTTTCTCTTGAAATCATGAGATACATCCCGGTCTTGTTAGTGCTGTCTGCAGGGTCATCGGGCTCACCTTGGGGAGTTCCAAGGGTCGCGGTGGGCTTTTGCTCACCCCGTCAACCCCATGCTACGTATCTGAATCGGCGATCCTTCAAGCAAATTCACCTTCAGTTCAAAAGCTTTGCATTGACTCACCATAGTGGTGGAGTGGTTGTGAGATAAAGAAATTCAAACCCAATCCCTAAACCTTAGAGGTAAGTTTGTGCTCCCATTTTTACCATAGTGCACTCTTTTTTCCGGGAACTGAACTGTGCAAATGCACCACAATTTGTCGGTTGGAAAAGAGTGCCCATCACACATCGAGAAGCAAATATTCAGAGCCACGTATCCCCACCATCAGTGTACATCTTGGTCCTCTTTGTCTCCTCTTGTCTGGCAGGCACTTGTGTGACTGGACGACTTAGATATTTCTGCGAACCGCGAGCATCAGCAGTTGAGATGCTTCTGTATTCGAGGTGCTCCACCTATTAGTATCTGGAATGATGCACATCAATCTTGCATTGGACTTCCCCCATTTCCAGACCCTGTCTGAAGCTCTAAACATGCGGACTCCAACCCGCTCGGGGGCCACAACTTCACGTCGGACGCATTCAACACGCATCCACACCACGGCGCATCCCACGCATCCGCGAAGACCAGTCACCCGAAACTCATCGATTCTCTCACCCGGACGCTCCTCCCACCGAGCGGTCCCGGCAAATCTTTGGTGAGCTCATCTCGGAGAACCATGGCCGTGTTGCTGGTTAAGCCTGCCTCGAGACAAGGGAGAGAAGAGGAAGGACAGTCTACCACCTACCTTCACTAAAACCTACAAAGTCCACACGGGGTATACGTTCAAATTGACTAGTCATCCGTCTGGAAAACAAGTGAGAAGACGGAAGGGACTAGGACTCGAGACGCAGCGGATGCTGACATCAACGGAAAGTGCTTGATAGCTGCCGTAAAAACGAAGCTTCAGACCCGGGACCGCCATGTGAAAATACCAGTCAACATCTGGCTGGCCCGAAGTCGATCGTCTTCCACAAAATACTATATACTGCAAAGTTCTAGCTTCGTTTCAGGGGCGTTGGTGAGACCCTTGGGAAATCCACAGGAGGGGCACATGAAAGAATCAACAGCTTTCTGAGATAGTGTCAACAAACGCTGGGGCGGCACGATCCCATTTCCCCCAAATCGTCGCCGCGTGTCCGAGGTCAACCTCAACGGGCCTCCATCAAGGGCGTATCGGCCTCAAAGTCCTCATCACCGCCCATAATCACTGAGGCCACCTGCCGTGTCGGTCGCTTTCCCACAGCAGAGTGAGGCGGAGGGAAGTTGTTGCTTTTTGCTGCTTTTTGTTGGTAATGGAATGTTTGGAGGAAAAAAGGATGGACAGTTCAAGACCTTATAGATCTTTGGGTCAACAAAAAGAACAGTTTGAGCCGTGGATCGAGAACTCTGGAGAAGCAACTCTAGTGCATGACAGCCCTGTGCTTCATGGCTTGGTTTAAGCCTGGGTCTAAGGGGCAAGCAGTCACAGCAAAAGAGTGTAAATGTTTCTTGGTTTCCTTTGATACGGCCTGCTGGTCTCACTGTGCAAATCACATGTGGAAAGCCAGGAGCAAATCTACCAACTTCTATTTTCCGATCAACTAAAGGTATATAACCATATATATATAGTGAATAGTCGTTGTTGTTCAATTTAATCAGTTGGCCATAGTTGACCAACTCTGTGAAACTTGAAGGCAGACTTCACTCTGCTGCTGTTGGAAAAAGACATGTTTTATGTTGCGAAGTGGTGTTGTCACGGCAGGTATTGATCCCCAACACACCACGGCGTTGAGCTTTTGTGCATAGCATTCTGGTTATTGTGTTTTTTTGATACAGGAATCGGTATGCTCACAACTCTGTGTATGTGTGGTTATTCCTTTGGCTGAAAAAGACATGGAGTTCCAGAGAATACACGTGCTGATCGGAACTAGACCTGTGGCGAGCACTGGCCTCCAACCTACTAGCGATGGCTTCCCATGCAATCATCTCGCCTGGTTCTTGTGCTACTCTGAAGTCACAGTGATTCTTGGGACAGGCACATCCCACAGACACACATACCACGAAGTCTGGCGAACCAATGAGATAACAAGGATCCTGGATCCTATAAGGTCACAAAGGAACCCAAACAATGGGGAACATGTTCGGACATCACTGATTCACCTCTTCACCCTTCTCTTGATACAATCTTTGATGTTTCCTTGTTTCAATGCATTTTCACCCCTGCCAAGTCTTACCCAGCTAAGCACTACCAGCGAAATGCTTCGCGAGCGAGGCTTCGCGGCTTCGCGGCCTGAGTGACCTTGGACTTGATCGTCGCCAGATCCATACCTTGAAATGCCATACGGATGGGATAAGCCCACTACCATTCAAACACTCATTCAAACATAGGATCAGTGATCATGTGAATGTATACAGCCTTGTATGGCATGTGCTATAATGCTGGAGAATGCCTTACAGATCCTTACAGTATAAACATTAACATTAATTCTATACACCTCCTCCACAAGTTGAATCATCCTGATGATTTGGGTCAAAACTTGGATCAAAACCCCAAAACCAAAGGAACCTTCCTCTACCTGCCATGACAAGCTCACGGCTAACTTCCATCTTCCTCATCTTGCAGTCGGAGGCACCAGCTTTCAGGTCCAGTGGAGAGGCCTCCCGTTGAAGCTCCACCTGCCCAGCTAGCAGGGCAACCTGTACACAATCCTTTCATGGAGAGGGTTCGATACCTGACAGGGCACCTTCCCACCCTGTAAATTTGGCATCCTGAAGAATGGTTCCGTCATTTATATAGTAGGTATCGTCATCGTTAGCAAGTAGATGGATGGATGTTCTTGAAGCCTATAGCATGCATCAGAATCTGGACTCATTCATGGTTCTTTCGGGTGAACATGGTCCCATCAGAACCATATCCGTTTGGTATCCATCCTCTTGATCCTTCGTTCCACCTCTGACAGTTTGCCTTCTCCTCTGCAAACAGGGGGCTCCCGATCCTGTTTGCACAAATCTGGGAACCTGCAACAGCAAACCCATTCAGCCACACCCAGCAGCTTGTCCATTGCAACACTGTGTCGTTCCTTCATATTTTACTGAATCGCCTGCTGTGCATGTTGTGTTTGTTGGGTCGCTTGTTGGATGTCCACACTATGTTTGACCAGCAGCAGCCAGCACAATCTGTCCGTGTCATGAAGCTTTTCTATTTGCGTTGCATCGCAGGGTTTGTGTGGCTTCAGCAGGTTGGAGGCCATCGCTAGTAGCTTGGAGACCATCGCTATTAGGTTCCTTTTGCTATTAGGTTGGAGGCCATTGGTCTGTTGTGGTCGTTGTTGTCTTGTGGATCCTTTCGTTGGCTCCGGCGAAATCAACCAGACTCGGCAAACTTGACAGGACTTCACAGGACGGAGCACCACTTTCACAGGACGGACCCCACACTGACAATTTCAATATATACATAAGCCAGAAGCATGGTGGCATTGATTTCATCAGACCATTCTTTCTCAGCAGGATTGACCCAAATCATATCCGTCCACCAGTGCAAGTGTGACATAAGAGGTTTGGCACTTGGAACGGAATAGGCTTCCTGTAAAGGACCCGTTGACCTCCAATGAGACCATGGGGTCCCTTCTTGCAAACTAGCGAAGTCATGATCCTTCAAGATGTTTGTGTTTGTGTGTGTTGCTTATATCGATTTCATGGAAGTCCTGTCGATTTGGGCCCCACGTTTCCAAACAAGTCGCTTCTGC